GAAAGGAGCATGGCAGCCCATGTGAAGTTTGTCCCAAGGTACCTAAAGGACTTCTAGACCAAGAGAAACAAAATTATCTGATCTGACGAGACAAAGATTACATTCTAGTGTACATTTCAGGCGTACGTTTGGGGTGGAAACCAGGCTGATATCATGCCTATAGTTAAACATGGTGGTGCAAGCATCATAATATGAAGATTTTTAACAGCAGCAGGAACCAACAGAGTAGTCAGGATAGAAGGAAAGAAAGTAGAAAGGTATTGATGAAAACACGCTGCAACCACTCTGTGAATGTCCTGAAGTGACTAAGCTTGAGTCTAGACTAGAATCCAACTGAACATCTATGAAGAGATTTCCGAAGAAAATGGCTGTCCAGTCATAACCCATCCAACCTGATGAAGCTTTAGACATACTGTGAAGAAGAATGGGCAAAACTACTGAACAATGTGTGTTAAGCTTGTGGCATCATAATCCAAAAGACTTGAGACTATGACTATTAAGCAAAAGTTATATTCCCACAAATGTGTTTTCATTAAGTTTTCTGTTTTAGAGTTTTCTGAAATACATTTCAAGTAATCTCAAACAAAATTAAATTTTTTCTTGTCATAATGGGATACCTTGAGAAGAAATTGAGAAGAAAAAAGGTTAATACGATACTTAATCTACACACTGTAAATAATTATGGGATCTTGTGGCGATAATAGCAAAATGCCTAATAATACCAGTGGTAATACAGTGGAATACATTGGCAAAAATTATAGATATGCAGTTAAATTGTATTATGATCTACGATATCACTGGACAGCATCTTTCAAAAATGCATTTTGGTGCTTTGAGTCTTTAGGTAAATTTTCTCAGAACAAAATGTGTTGTGGTAAATGTTTGACTGGAAACTTGAAGTAAGTAGCAAAATTTTTACTGACCTCTGATTTGTGAATTGATATTTTCTGACAAGAAGTTACTTTGGCTTCTTAGAAAAGTCTCCCCACTGCTAGAGTTTCAATTTGATAGGTGCTATTCACCGCTTTAACTCCTTTATCATATTGTCCAACAAGACTCAACCTTTTTGTTACTTAACTTGTTACTCTCATCATTATAGAGTTTAGTTATCTTTTGCTTAAATACCACCTTATCCAATGACTTAACTTTCAATTGATCACTGTTTCTTTGCACTTTTTATGTTGACCATCAATTGGAAACAGTGAACATGATATCATAAAATGTAACTATTTCATTGCTTCCAACTTGGTCTGGGTCGCTATCATGAAGTTCCATTTGTAAGCTATAAATTAATTATTCTAAAATGTAGGTGTTTATTTTCAGTTACACAAAGCCATTTGTTTCCTCATTAGTTTTATTAAGTTTTTACAAATAAAGATTCCTCCAACCATTTGAGAGTGCTGATGTCATTTTTACCACATTCCTCCTCTTATCATGGTCCTTGGACAGGTTCTACAGTGCAATTCTTGAAGTTTAGTTTTTTAAACAACTCTCAGTTGAATGATAGCAACACAAAGTAAATGTTGTAACTACAACAAATATGCCCTTTACTGTTAAAGTTAGAAGTCTGACTGAAAAGGTGCCACTAGCCAGTCTTAATGTACTACAAAAACATACTCTGACAATTACAGATACAAACTGTTTATTGGCACTCCTGACCCTGTCTATCCCAGTCAACTAGAATTATACATGACCCTATTGAAAGACACTTTCAGGCGTTCTTTAATGGTTTGGCATAAAAAATTAGTACAAATGGAAACTGCTAAATTGTTACCCACTTGGATGTAACATTATTCCCATCTCCAAGCTTTGGATTCAAGTAAAACTGAGAATAAAGATCCATCCTCTCAAGCTTCATCTGTCAGGGTCAAAGAGACACTGCTACCTATTTCCTGTAGTCTGTGGGTAAAAAAACGATGTACACCCTGGACGATGTACACTCTAGTACATCACAGGACAACACAGAGGCATACAACCATGCACATACACTCTCACACTTAAGGGCAATTTAGAGATGCCAGTTAATCTAAAAGTCAGGTTTTTGAACTGTGGGAAGAAGCTGAAGTACCCTGACAGCCCACAAATTGACAGGGGAGAACATACAAACTCCATGCAGAAGGACCCTGGATTGGGACTCTAACCCAGGACCTTCTTTCTGCAAGGCAACAATGCTACCCACTGCCCCACCATTCAGTGCCTTAGAATAGCATTAGTGACATATTCCCTGAGAGCATCGTCTTTTAACTTCCATTGCTTAAAATTGTGTATATAATTAAAAGTATACTTTAAACAAGAACTGTATGTCAATTCTCAGGGAACCTTTTTGGGCTGTATTGCCATTATTAGGATTCTCAATATAAGAAAAAATGCTATTATATGAGTATTTTCAGTGGTGTCCAATGTTCCCTTATTGGAACTAGACAGTTACCGCTCAAATTGTTCCCAAGAGCTAAAAAAAAAAACATACTTCAGCTATATTGTTCCAAGAAAATGATTTTTCATTGAACCACGAACACAAAACCCCACAAAGAAAGCACACCATTTATAGACCAGGATATTAAGAAACCACTTTATGAGGCCCACTTGTAGTGATATCTGCTCAGACGGGGTCCTCTAATTGGGCTCTGTGGGCTGGGCTATTTGTTGCTTTTACTCTATTAAATTCCCATGTTCAGCAAGCTTGGTAATTTAGAAGACATACATATGGCATTTGTTTAGCAGGCTCAGAAAAGGCTGAGAAAAAGAACTTCAGTTTTAGTGTTAGGTCACAGAACAACCTAGATGGTATTCTGGTGACATCATGGCACTCATGGGAACCTAATAAGCTGCAGCTTAAATGGTAAAATGTACTTTAAGCCCCCATGTATAACACCTGCTGACTGGCCTAATCCCTGTACATCCATAACAAGTGTCATTGCTTTTCCACATTTATAAAGGGACAATTGCATCACCTGTGCAGTCTAGCAGTACAAGCTAACACTCATTTAACCAGCAATGATGACAACATATTTTTTGCAAGATTTACACTTGAAAAGAAACACCATCCAGGCTTACTGGCACCCATATAAAAAATGCGTAAAGGATCTGAAAACATAAGAAAAACCAAAAAGATGTAATATATTTAATACCAGATACTTATATATATATCATAATCATTAAAACCTCTTTTACCAATGGATCTTCTTGCTCTTCATGCATTGTATTAAGCATTTCTGAGCATTCCTCATAATCTCTAAGATAATTCCTTCTTTCAGAGCATCTCTTGCTCATCTCTAGGGTCCACTTGGCTTTGTTTGGTTCAGCCCCTAAATGAACTTTTTATCGGCCTCTTTCTTTGTATTTCCTTTTTTTCTTAGGATTAATCCTAAATGTTCGTTCCAGGAATAATCAAAGTCCCAAGTGTATTTAACAAGCATTGCACACTTCCACTCTGACAGTAACATGGAAAAGTTTTTTTCTGTTTTCTGGCATAGCTCTAAAACAATCAATAAGTGTATCAGTGTTTTATGATTGTGCACTGAGTGGTACCAAGATCTCATTCACTGCAAAAGTGATCTTAGGATATTTCTTATACCTTCCTGTCCTATACAGCCTGCAATGCATAATAACTGTAGGTTTGAGCAAGTTTAAGCGATTATCCATTTCATTTTATGCCTTCCTTGAGTTAAAATTAAAGATAAACATAATTGCCTTAATTAAATGGCTTCTTCTCTTGTATTTCCTGTTTTGAAGTGTGACTAATAGAAAATTCCATAGCATATTTACATAAATAAAACAGTAAAGTTCCTACTGCCAAGACAGTTCACCAACTTCAAAAAAGAAAAAAACAAAACAGTATGTGCTTCAGCTAGTTGTTCACATCCATGCAAGGAAATTGTGAGGCCACTAATTTGGTTAAATTAGTTTCGTAACCAATAAATGAGACTGAAAAGTGTATTACCCTTCAAAAAACAAACAAGAGATTCCCATTTAAGTTTAAGCTGCTTTAAAAAGTATATACTTATTTTGACTAGTTTAAGTCTGAGAGGATGACGTATTAATGGATATTATTTATATATTCGAACTATAGTTATGCCCTTAATTATATGGATATGTATCCTATGTGGAAATTAAGTAAAGTGAAATATAATCGAATAAGATAACGCTATTAAAAAAATCCTAACAAATGAAAGAATTAAGCTTAAACGTATAGTGGAGGATATTTTATTTCCAAGTGGATCATCAAAATAAGTGGTCCTCTGAATTTTCAATCATCCTGGAGATATGTTTCCATAAGGCTGTCCAATGCACTCGTCCTCATTTTAACTTACCGGTGTGAAATATGTGATGTATGACATAGTGGAAAAATTGGCATGTTCTTCAAAATCTTCTTTTGTGCTTTAGTGATGCAAATAGCAACTTTTATACAGAGTTTGCACGAGGAGAAATGGGCTAGAGCATGCTCTCACACTTGTTTAATAGATGTTCCCTCTCGGGAGGGTACAGGGTTGTGCATGTGCAGTAGTTTTTAAAGTGGAGAGGGTGGGTCTTTTCAAAAAAAAATGTGAAGATCCTCCACTATACCTAAAAATAAAATAACTAAAAATGTAAATTCATTCTGGAAGTCTGTAACCTGCAACACCTGGATCACCCTCTGATGTCCCACATACAAGTTCCAGCCAGCTGTCATCAGGACCGTTACCAGCCATTTTCCTATCCCCCCTCCAACCCATCTCCTTCCTCGAGCTTGGACCCAGGGATATTTGCAAACCCTCTACATTTCAGGCTTATCCACCATCATTGTCCGGACGCTGGGGAAAGACTATGCTAAACTCTTTTTAATCCATTAATCCAATCACATATCAATTCATAGAACCAAAATCTTCTCCTGGGGTTCAAGTGCTAAAGATTTGTCTTCATTTATGTCAGTTAACTTTTCTAATTGCAACTTTTCTCCACTTGAGTCTCTCCAGGTTGAATTGTTCTATTATCTGCTCGAAAAATACCAAGCTAACATCCAGTTTTGTCAGTTGTTATAGAAATTGTTTTATTTATCTTCTTTCAGTTTTGAGTGCCATGTATATTAACAAATCCATCCAGCTGCCCAATTTATAGACAAAGTCATTCATTTCTCTGTGGACTTCTCTAAGTAAATTCCAAGGCTGCACCACACTCATGTATTATGGGAGAGAAATTCTGTTCATTTTCACACACGTTTTATTTTGCATCAAGGGTTGAAAAAAAAAAGGCCATTCCATATGTGGCTGTGTATTCCTGAAAGCAATAAAATCTGCCATGGAAAGATTCTTTGAATAGTGAGCAATTACAGCAAAGAAAGGATCTCAGAACATAATCATGACTGAAAAACAGAACATTTCGAATATACATTTCACAGAAACTCTTAGCCAACTGCATTTTAACATCTGGAATTCTAAAATCTGTCAAGTCCAAAGAAATTTGTAAGGATGTTTTCACAGTAAAATTAAAAGTTTGAAAAGATGAATGCAGTATTAAAAAAAAAGTATTTGCCCCCTTACAGATATCTTATGTTACTTTTTGTTGTTTTGCAACACTGTGTCTTAGATCAACCAAATGGAAACTTAGACAAAAAAGAAAACAAATGCACAAATTGGAGGAAAATGCCATCCAATCCAATTTCCTTTTGGTGTGACAGAAAAGCCCAGACAAGGATGTAAGCAGGCAAACACAATTCAACTCCATATCCAACTGGTTGGAATCGACTGGCTAGGTGAGAACCTCAACCTGACGTACAGTAGGCAGTCCATGAGCACATGTGCCATCTTGAAAGAATATAACCTGAAGAAATCTGTAAAGGGGTGCACACTTTCTCACAGCAGTGTTATGTCGCATACAGCTGTATTATATTTTACACATTTTCTTCTGCAGGTATATTTAGGTCACTTCAATGTACCTTTCTAATGCATATATTTGACTTCCACTAAGGTACGTCTACCATCTCATTTCCTTTTAATGTCACATTGGGTTTTGGATATTGCACATCATCATGTCAAGAGATGTTACTGGAAATGATACAATGATATATTATTTATTAAATATTTCCTACTCAGTGTCGCAGAGATGCAGCCAATGTTTTAACACTTTCCATTATATAAAAAAGTTTATATGTTCTCTTTGCCACCAGCTCAGAACAGCTCTTGGTGTGATCTATAATGGGTTTCTCAGCAAGAAATAAACAATGTTAGTAAGTATTTTTTTTGGCATATTAGTTATAAATGTGTACCTGTTTTTCCTCCATATGATTATAGCACAGCCAGATATACAGTACAACCTATTCCTTAATATAGATCTCACTCTTTGCCATTATGATTTTCATCCTCAGCTTAGCTGAAAATTATTTTGTGCTTATTTTCACCCTAAAAAGAAATACGCTTTGTGCAAAATACAACAATACATTAGCCTCATCAAAATAAGTCAACGGTTTGAGCATAATCAAAAAGAAAAATCAAAATATTCACAGTAATAAATCACAACAAAATGAAGTTGGGATTGGCTTGCATAGCAAATCAAAGAGAAAGAAAAACATTAAAAAAGAAAACAATATTTACAAATTATGCAAGTCCTTTCATCATTTAAGCAAGTCATTTTTGTCATGTGGTCCTTTTTTCTTCACGTCTCCACTGTGTGATCACCATGTGACAAAAAACAGAAGCGCACATTTAACATACTGTTTATTCTTTCAAAGGGAGGGGGGTAAAAATCACACTGTGAAAGTGGTGTCAGTGCCTGTACATGACATTTACAGCTCTGTTTCCTTCAACACTGTTGCTTCTTCTTCCATTCCGTGTCCTCTCCATCTTCTAAAATCCATCTTCACTGAGAGAAAATCTCATTGCGCTTACAGACAATGGGTCTGGGGACAGACCACAGCTGCAGGGGATTGATGTCTCACAAGAACTCTGAAAAGAACCAAGATAAAGAGAGCCGAGTTACAATTAAGACTCAAAAAACATCTGGTTTTACAACTGGGCATCTTTGGGTTTGTTTTCTTGAATCAACATCTGTTCATTAAGATTTGTTTCAAAACTATTTAACTATTACACTGAACTCCCTTCTTAAATAGCATATGTTAAGATGGCATCCCTTCCTGTTCAAAATTTAACAAAACATATAAAACCTCTTTATTCAATTTCAATAAAGGGAAGGAAAAATCACTTACTCAGAATTACCAAAAGCCCCCTTTGGATATCTGCAGATAAACCCAATTAACCTCAGGGGTAAGTACCGTAGTTTAAATGTCAGTTTCTGTGCATAAAAAATTATTTTGACACATGCCAACACAAGCATGTGGGAGTCTTTACCCTGTAAACTCTATTCTGTGCCTTTATTCTGGGCAGCCTTGGTTTTATTTAACTAAGTGGGGAATGATCTTTGCATTTTTGGCCATTTTCTATCCAGATTTTGCCCACTAAAAAAATGATGGCTAAGAGGAAACTACTAGATTGTATTCAAGCTTCTGGGAGGGCAGGATGCATAGAAGTTGGTTTAGGAAATTTAAACCAGAGGAGGTTTTTTGGGATAATTGAAAGTCAGTTAAAATTACTTTTGATTGAAAGCAATCAACAGAGAACGTAGAAATCTACAAAGAAGATAAGTTGTTTGCCACTGTATTCTCAGTCACTTCTATTACCTTAGAATTTGGATGGAATTAAATTGATCTCAGGTGATAAAGTAAAAAATCATGGTGTTATTTTTGGGACCTGTCATTTAAATCCCATATCAAAGAGGTTTCTATAATTTCCTCCCTTCATTTGTGGAAAATTGAAGAAAACAGGAATCTCCTGTCCAGGGGTGATGCTGAGAAACTAGTCCATGCATTTGTTACTTCAAGGCTGGACTATTGTAAATGTGTAGTGAAAAGCCTTCAGCTGATCCAAAATGCTGCAGCTGGAGTTCTTATGAAAATCATAAAGAGATCATATCTCTCCGTTCTTCTCTCTCCGCTTCTTGTTAAATCAGAAATTTAAAATTCTCCTTCTCACATATAAAGCCTTAAAAGGCCAAGCTCCATCTTTGCTCTCAATCTGCAGTTTTATTAGTGGTTCCTAAGATTTCTAAAAGTAGAATGGGAGGCAGATCTTTTAGTTATCAGGCTCCTTCTGTGGAACCAACTGCCAATTTTAGCTCTTAAGGCATACACACTGTCAATGTTTAATGCAAGGCTTAAAATGTTCCTTTTTGATACAGCTTATAGTTAAAGTGGCTCAGGTTATCCTGAGCTATCTCTATTGTTATGCTGTTATAGGCTTAGACTTCTGGAGGACAGAGGGACCCCATTTCATAAATCTGCTCCATTCAATCTCTATTCTCCCACTCTGCAGAATTTGTTAGTTCAATCTCTTACGCTATCCTGCTCTGCTTCTTCTCTTAGTAGCTTCATATTTTGTGTTCCTGTTGGCTTGGACACGATCCTGGAGAGAAGTATCAGCTGTGTTGTTGCCATCAACAACCTGTTTTTCAGTGTTGTCTCTGGAAAGTGCCTTGAAATAACATGCGTTTTGAATTGGCACCATATAAATAAACCTAATTGAATTCTCACTGCATACGAAACCTTTTCTTTCCACTATCAACATTTGCTCTCTATTAAATAACCAGAGAAATATGATTAGATGCTGCTGTTTATTGTAACTGAAGGTGTAGGGCCAATCTGACAAGTGAGAGAAATACAGACCTTTTAAGGATTATACATGCTATGTTTTATTTAAACAAAAACCAGGAATTTGAAGTCATGTAATATCAGATTTGATAGAGTTCCAGTTCCACAACACCTGGATTATTTTCATAGTTCATATATGATCTCTTCAGCCACTTTTACAACAATACAAAGGACAAAAACAATGTTTTATGTATATTTGGTGCATGCAAACATCATTAGAAATAAATTAATATTACATCAATACTGAACTGCTAAACAGTCAAAGTAGGAAAGTTGAACTAATGTTGATACTAGTAGCAGCTACCTAGGAAGCACGGTACGATAGTGTTACTCTAACAACATATACAAATAATAAAGCACAGCATCAATTTTCATAAACTGTTTTCCAGCATTGAAATAACTCAAATGAACTAGGATGTGCCATTGGGAGTAGGTCTCTGATGGGTATTTAGGGAAAAGTAGATCAATATCAGTTATACTAACTGAAAAGAAAGCATATTTAAAAGGCTAAATTTTTTCATATTTTATCTTTCTTCAAATATCTTCACAACAAATCTGTGCAGCTACATACCTCTGCTTAAGAAATGCATCATAGTAAAATGCAGCCTCTACTGGATTTCTCGTATTAAGGTCCTAACTTACCTTATTATTTGTAAAGCTCAGGTTTGTGAAGTGCACAGGAAATATTTGTGCTGTCATTACACTCTCCCTCTAGAGCTGTGGATCTCCACAGCTCCTACAAAGTTACAATGGGGCCCCTTGTTGGTTTTCCTGATAGAAGCTTTCATTGTGAATCTGCAAGTTTAGTTGAATGGTAGTTTCTTGGTAGGTTTGCTGTTGTGCAATACTATCCAATTTGTCATGGATCTGTCCTAAGCTGACCAGCTCTACTAATGATTCTATAGGGCTAAGATGCTGTGCCTTAGAGAAACTGAGGTTGTGATGAACAAATTTTGAAACTCAGTGTTTTCATTCTTTCCAAGTCTTTTTCACCTCAATTTTGCAGCTCCACGACAAAACAAATATTAGTTTTTAGCATTGTTTTTGATATATTTCATTGGCTGTTGGTCTGTACCCCCCTCCCCCCTCCCCTTCCCAACCACCACCAGTTCAAAGCTGTTGTTTGATCTGGCCCAGGAAAGAAAGTGTTTGGGTAACCTGGTTCTATTTTCTGTGAATCCGAGCCAATGTTTTGAATAGAGGAAACTGAAAGAAAACAGGCCAAGTGGGTACTGGCATCAGCTCAGCACTGGAAGCATTTTTCCAGTATTTAGGTTGATTTTAACATTGCTATATTACCAGAAATGTATTTTTATAGCAAAATTACTATTTTAAAGAGACTGATATACATGTTCTGCAGTGTTGTGCAAGAGTACTGAAGAAAGGCCTCCTTGTTTAATTATTAATTCATCATTCATTTGCACTGTGCAAATAGAACATTTACAAATGTCTGCTTTTTAGCATGCATACCCATCCATTCTCTTTAGAATTTGAGTATTAATACTTACAGTGTTCCCTTTTCTCTGTGCCATTATTGGAAAGATGCCCATCAGAGGATAAGTCCATGCCAGGTCTGTTGTGGGAACCCCTACTCAGGGTGACCCTGCCGGAAGATGTCGTGCCACTCCAGGAAGCCATGTGCTGTCTCTCTAGTGTCGACACAGTAACCATGCACTCCTCAGAAGTGTCCGGCACCGGAGCTGGCCATGGGCTTTGCAAGTGGGATCCCATGCTGTGAGTGGACTTTGTGGCCGGCGTGTGGGCTGTCGAGTGGATGGTAGATGATGATATGTGGAAATGAGACATCATGACACACACTTCAGATAAAAGATGAATCACATTTTAGAAACAGTTGTCTGAGAGCAATGAAGTCCAAACTCACAGTCTGTGTTGGTGTCTCTTCGTCTGGGAAGAGTTCCAGCCATGTCAGTCTGAGGTCTGTGGCCAGTAAGTGGCGGGCCCTTGTGTCTGAGGCTATGTGTACCATGCGCATCACGGTCTGAAGTGCCAAAGCTATCAGTGTGACTGTGGTGGGCAGATTTCCCTGTGAGGAGAAGAAATGAGCCATTTATGGCAGATAATTATTTGTCCACATTGACTAAACAGTGGAAACAAATTTGTGAGTTGTACAATATGTTAAGGGTTAATTGGAAAAGTATTCAAACCCCAGTTTTTTAAGTTACAACCACAACCTTTATTGCTCATGTATTGAGCATATGTATTGTAATAGGCCACCAAAAAGTAATACACAACTGTTTGTTTATATGTGTTCAACCTCTTTTTCACTGACACTCAGACATGGGCTACGATATTGACTCATTAGCTGGATCGGATATCAGAAGAATGATGCTGATTGAGTTACAGCAATTTCATTATCTAATTTTATGATGGCAGCACTTATTACATCATTATGCAGAGCACGAACAGCAGCTAGTGGTGATTTATATCTGTGTTTAACTTTGAACTTTTTTTCAACAATGTTTATTGCAAATGTGATGTCTTTACTCACATGGAAAGGTATACGGTAAATTCATTCAAAAGAAGTACTGTATTTGATGATAGCGGATATCGGCCAATACACTATGTATCGGTATCGGATTCGATCAGAAAAAAATGGATTGGGGAATCTCTAACTGCCACTAGAGGTACAAAATATAAACCTGGTTGTTTATTTTAAATCAGCATAAGTTTAGCTGCTCTGTGAAGATACTAATATCTGTAGTATATGTGAAGATACTAATGAAGAAACAGCATCATGAAGACCAAAGGACACAGCAGATAAGCCAAGGATAAAGTAACACAGAGGTGTAAAGTGTTTTTAGATAAAAAAATAAAAATAAAACAAAAAACATTTGTATAACTGAAACTTTCTGTAACCTGTGGGTTGTTAGGCTGGGTATCCAATATATACTGTGCTACAGTAATTGGTTTGAACCAGCTAACTCCTCCATAGGTTTCCTGCCACCTTTAGGTTCGGAAATAATTATAATTGAGTATTCCTTTGATTTCATATACAACCTCCAATAATGAACACCATAAAACACTGAAATCACTTACTTTCAAATATCTATTAAGCTTTTTTTTAACCAAAACTTGTGTTAAATAAATGTCTACATCAGAACTGTTTTATTTTTATTTTTTTGTGTGTTTTGCTATTTGTCCAGTCGCTTGAATTGATCTCGAAATATAAAAAGTATGGCACAGCTACAAACCTAACAATGTTCTACAAATGGTGGATCTATAATGATAGTGCAAATATGTGGAAGAAGCAACAAAGACACATCCTGTTATTGTTTAAGGATTGCGTTAAGCTGTGCAGAATAGTAAATATTTTGAAGGAGATCAGATGACACCAAAGGGAAATATTTAACTTGCATTTAAATGATTTGTATGACAACAAAAAAGTTATTGTGCATCACTCTGATTACACCATGACCATGATTAAACATGATAGTGGCTCCATCATGGTCAGGGGATTCTGTTATTCAGCAAGGACAGAGAAGCAAGTAATAGGGAAAATGGATCAAACTTAATACTCTGTAAAACTATAGGATAACATGTTAGAGACTGGAAAAAAGCAGCTTCTTATCGCCCAGCAACACAAAAAATCTAAATATGCAGTAAAGTGAACCATATAGAAGAAAGCCTATTCATGTGCTACAATAGCGCAGGCAAAGTCTAAACCTGCAAACTGTAGCAAATCTTGAAAATCTGTACCAATTTTTTTCCAGCCAGACTAAATTTGACTTTGTAATGAAATATGAGCAAAATAAAAATCATGTATATTAGTTTTGTTACTTTTGTTTTTGCAGTGAAAGTTTACATATGTTGAAATGCAGGCAACATGTTTTATTTTATTTGCCTAGAAACAATACCAAGATACTATATATAATTTCCCTTCCATCTCACAATCAAACACTAATTTGTGTTGATTACCTAATTTTTTTTACAGTAAAATATACTAGCATTTGTTACTGTCAATTGATAGATATGGTTCCTCCCTTCAGGAAACCAGAAAAATAATTTGTATTTTCACTTATCTGAGTTCCCAGGATCTGTGATGAGAACACGTTTGCAATGGCAAATTTATGTATAAACATTCATAGTCACATTGACTGGCTTTGGCCCAGAAAGGGGTTATTAAAGCAATGATCACAAACTTATTCTCAGTTTACCTGTTAGTTGTAATTTATCAAACAATGGGGCCTAAAAATAATGAAGTCTTGTCCCTGTGGGAGAAGTCATCTAGCTTTTGAGTTCTAAAGAAAAGTTTTCAGGCTGAAACCTATTTATAAATACATACAAATCATAAATCATGTAATGGATTCAACATTAATCCAAAGGAAAGGGGTGTAACCTTTGTTAGATGGTTTAAAACTCTCCTTAATATATATTCTAAACTCAGGGAGAATTTAAAAAAGGTTATTGAAATTACTACTGATTAAAAAGTGTTTGTTTTTTGTTTTTTTAAAAGGAATTTAGTGGTCCTTATTTTGAATATTAGTGAATCAGGGCCTATAAGTTACCCTGAAATCCCATATCCTCCATCACCGCCCCACTGCGCTCCAGAGCGCCTGCGCAAAGCAAAGCCTACAGCCTCAGACTTCCTTGGAGTTCGAGGAGAGCATTAGCTATATTATTATTAAATTCATAAGAGCAAAACATGCGGAAATTAACGCATAATTTAATATGACATTAATAAATTTTTTCATCTTTATTAAAACTTAAAAAATCAGAATATATTAGGTATTTTTAATTCCAGAAAGCAAGCAGAGTTCCCTTAATATTTAATTTTAAAATAGCTTTCATTGCCTAATTTGCTAACATGTATATGCAATATATGCCTTGGCCAAATTAAATTAAGATCACCTTCATGTGGGAGGAAAGCTTTATTTAACCGGCGAGGAAATTTGCGGTGTGAAGCAACATACACTGAAAACACAAACAAACTAAATGTTTGCAGCTAGTGGCATCACACAGAGTGCTAGTTTCTCAGTTATAAGTACACACCTCACAATTCAGTGATGAACGGATGTCAGTGTTTGAGCTGTAGAAGCCCAAGGAGTGAATTAGATTAAGAAAAATTCAGATAAAAGTGACTCTTCTGCAGACCTTGTATTCTCATGCATAACTTAGCTAAAATCCAAAACAGCAATGAAGGTAGTGAAGAGTAAAATCCACGATCTGCAAGCATAGAAGATGGTTGCCGGCTGGTAGAAAAACATTGCTGATCAGGGAGCTAACTGATGTCTCCCAGCAGGTCCTGCAATCACATAAGATCTGAAGGAACATCCACTTTTATCTTTAATTACAAGAGCGTCGGAAAAGCAATTACATGTCCTTTTTTTTTTTTTTAACTAAATAGGTTTAGTATATAAAAACATGAAAAACAGGTTGGTTTTTGTTATATTGGCTGTGTAATCTTTATTAAACCTAACTAAAAGTAATTCTTTACAGATGTAGAAAGAGCAACTAAACTGTCTGCTGTATTGCTTTTTTATATACTTATTAAATCATACCGTACTTAAAGGAGCAAACTTTTAAAAATCATGGTGAAATTATGTCAATATACTTTGTTTCTTCCTATTTATAATGAGCACTCTTTTTTGCAGTTGCCACCACATTTATTTTTAATGCAAAACAAAAAAAGAAGAAAAGAAAAGAAAAAATTGTTAAACTTCAATCTAAAGTAGATCAAACTAAGATAAGAAGAACACATACCTGTGCCTTCCAGGCTATCCATGCTGTGACCAGGAGTGTATTCAAAGCCGCACAAGTTCTTTGACACCACGGTATATCTTTCATCCTCCTCCTCTTCCTCATCATCTTCAGAAAGAAGAGTTTCTCCCAGATCAGACCCCAGTGTAGTCGACATGAAGTCCATCGGTGTGTTGGGCACATTTGTGCTGCTTTTCATATGCCTAATAAAATATGACCAAACACTGTGTTAATGAATGCATTCAATCCTTTAAAATGCAATGGAGGTCAGATAAAGAGTGGGAAAAACACTGGAAAACAACCATTTGAAGGCAGAATCAGTGGATATATTCAAAAGTGTAAAGATGCAATGTGCAAAGACTATGAATGTCTGCTGTGATTTTCACTGATTACTTTCTCAGCAGTGGTGTGTGTTGTGCTAACACAATGGAGTTGTAATTGGACAGAATAAAGGATATCTGGATGGGCAGGGCTGTCAGCAACATGCCTGTTATCTCCGGCACAGCTGTCCTCTATGATGGCTCGCATCCCACCGTAGAGGAGATGCATGCATAATTACCAACTCTATTTACTGATGTCAGACCAGCGTGTAAGACTAAACCCAGTCATTACCCCCCAACACGTGTCAGCCCTGACTTATCAAGTTCCCCTCAGTGCCTCGTCGAAGGTGTAATCAACGGGGTGAATGTATTTTTTTATCGTACGTGAGAGACAGTGCAGGTTTGGGCTGACACGTGCAAATACCAGCATCCAAAGATGTTCAAATGCTGCCGGTAGGAATGCAAAACCGAAATGATGAGATGAATGAGTTGAATAAAATTACAGGTATCTCTACAACTGTGCAAAGAAAGGAAATGACAATACTTTTCAGATAGAAAAAAAAGATGAACAAATTCTGCAAAAATATTGTAAAGAAAGTAAAGAGAAATGAATTGATAGAAAATTAGATACATATAATTTAGAAAAAAGTTAGATAAAAGGAAAAAAAAAAAATAGGGACAGATAATCAAAGCAGTGATGGAAAGGCATTCCATAATATAAAGGTCCTGTGCAAACTAGTTTTTGATTTTGTATGGGTGCAAACTGACTCAGAATGTCATTATACACCACAGAGATAATCTTATAAAAGTCTGTGTATATATATATAACTATGTTCAAACTGGATAGAGCAAGCAAAGCTGATCTACTAACCAGTTGCCCATCAGTTTGTGCCTCTAAAGTAAGTAGAACAGCAGGCAAATCGTTCTATATTTCAAGTTTGCCTTCATGAATGTGTCAACCATATGCTCATCATCAGATGGCCAAAATACTTGGGAGGAGGATATGCAAATGTAATTACTTACCACCTGCAATCAATTCATTAAACCTTAAAAGGATTGCCGCTGCAGATTGTTTATATATAGCAAGTTCCAAACTCAGGTGCAAACAAGCATGCCAAAATGTCTGCTGCCATCATGGAAAAGGTAAGCAAGGGTAATGTGCATGTATCACCCTATTTGGGCCTGCAGGAATTCCAATAGTGGAGACAAACTGTTTATTGTGCAATGCTATTTTTTAGAATTGGATAAACTAAGGTCTGACGTAGAGCCGGTCGCAGAGGCTGTTCTGTACCGACTGTAGAGAAAATCATAACAAAACTGGATTTTATTGCTTCTGGATAGGACGTACCATCACAGTTACTTAATGCCATTCAACAGCTCACACAAGGTTTGGAACAATTTTGGTGTTTTATTGCTCTTGTTATACCTTTAAACACAATTGTCAGAATTGAGTGAAAAAGTGGCTTATCAAAAATATTCTTTTTAAAACAGAAATTATTCATGTTACAAGCTCCTTATTAATATGAAGGTGGTCTTTACTCACATTGGATTAGAAAATTCTTTGTGTTAACCAGCAGTAATTAACCACCAGTAAAATAATTATATTATAGAACACATTTTTTACTGTATATTCCCATCTTAAAGCTGCTCACACATCTGTGGAGATGAAAATGATAAATCTGCAGCAGCTATTTTCATCTGTCTTGCTTTTAATTCAAGTTAGGCATTACAAATAATGATCATTAGTAAGACAAAATAAAAGAGTAGTTGTCTATTTTTTTTTTTTTATATAGCATACAGTTGTTTTTATGGAGAATTAATAAAAAATCTTTTTTCCATCTCCTATTATGAACTAAAGATCTTAACCTATAGGAAAATAGGAAAGTTCTTAATTTATCAAAGAATAAATTGTTTTGTGTGTCTGGAATGTCTGCCAAAATGATAGAGCGGCCATGTGTGAGTGACATCACTTACAAAAATGTTAACTATTATCTTAAGTGGTTGAAACAGTTGGAATTATGCAGACGATAGAGGCTACTCAAATGTGCATGTGCCTCCACGTTATCCTATCATTTTATATGTGATAGAACCTGATTTTTTTTTTCACTTCACACCAACAGGGAAAGCCTTTCTCTTTTCCTCTACCTGAATTTATCTATACAGGATCAAACCTAACGTCTGTGTGCAGTTCTGTTGCAAATTGCAACAGCCTTTGAGAGGGGCAAATAAATCCACTCTGTGCTCTATGGAGACAGCCAATAGCACCCAAAAAATTTGTCCTTTAAATATGCCAGTCTTAGGTTATTGTCTGCAACACACCTACTTATTGCACATACAATTTTTTGTTTGCTCAGTCATTAAAGTTGGATCTTAGCCCACATGACTAAATAGCCTAAAATACATATTAATAAAGGAGCAATAAGTACAATTTTATTGTTTTAGATTAAAAGAACTTAGAATATAGTTTTGTGAATAACTAAATGCATCTTTCCAGATGAACTATAGTGGGATATCATACACCATCTCTCTGTGTTGTCTTCCAGTCTCTCGTTTAGATTGCCACGCAACCCAAGAGCATATACGTGCAAATGGGTATTCCTGCATCTAAACAGCAATGCAGCACAGGAGCAAAATGTCAAACAGTGCATTCAATCATGGCCACATAGAAAACAACGATCTTTGACAAAGAAGTTGTCAAGTGCAGTCAAGTTTTTGCTAATGACCTGATAATTTACATTCATGCTTAGGCCCTCTGTTGTTCTCTATATTCATAAATGACCTTCCAAAAGTATGCTCAAACTGTAATATCCTGCTGTATGCTGACGATACAGTTATTTACTCTGCTAAACCTGACATTAGTTTGATTGAGTCTTCATTGCAATCAGACTTTGATGATATTCAGAAGTGGTTTACAGCGAATGGGCTCATACTTAATAAGACTAAGTCTTACAGTATGCTTTTTGACAACAGGACAACCCGTTTTAAGCAAGATCATACTCTGTCAATAAGGTTTCTGGATGATACTCTTATGGAGAATGTGGAAGAATTTAAATATTTGGGCCTACTGCTTGACTCCAATCTTTCCTTCAAGTCACATATTGACTCCGTTGTCAAGAAAATTAATTTCAATCTTAGACTCTTATATCGCTCTATAAATTGTTTCACTCAACAGATCAGACTACGAATTGTAACACAGCTTTTATTTCCAATCCTTGATTACGCTGACATTGTGTATATGAATACAACAGAATCACACCTTAAATCTCTAAATGTTGTTTTCAACAGTCTCTGTCGATTTGTGTTGAGATGCCCATACCTTACCCACCATTGTCACATGTATCAGCAACTTAACCTCTTATCACCTAAGACTAGACGGCAGTTACACTGGTTTCAGTTTATTTATAAATGTTTTTTCTTTAATTATCCATCCTATTTACAAAACCATTTGAATCCATATAGGTCTACTTATGGACTTAGACATCTTGATCATTTGTTCTTTTCTGTTCCAAGAATATCTAAAGAAATAGGAAGACGTGCCTTCAGATTTAAAGCCCCTTCTGACTGGAATAGCTTACCCAGATCACTGAGATCAATTTCATCTTTTCCTCACCTTAAATCATCCTTATTAAGTTTTCTGCATTCAAGAGACCAGTGCACCTGCTTTCCTGGCCGTGGTCCTTAAAACAAAACAAAAAGTTATGTACCTGCTGCTGTACCTATATTCATGTGTGCGGTTGTGCATATATACATGCTTATTTTTCCTTCTTATCTTTTTTATTTATTTAACTGATTTTCCAATTGTGGGTTTTCTCCTGAGTACTTTACTTGTATTTTATTCTTATTTTATTTCTGCTTAGTGTTCTATATATATAGATACATATATTTTCTATTTGTTTGTTTACCTGCATAAATATATTTGTGTAGAGATGTTGGACTGTTTAGCTTGTAGTGATGAAGAGCTTTGGTATGGATGTGTGACTGTGTGTATTGTTTGTCTCTGTTGTTCTTGGGACCCCCTCGAAAACGAGATGGATCATCTCAAGGGGCTATCCCTTAATAAAAGAATTGAATTCAGGTTTCTTAGCAGAGACATCTAAACGATGTCAGACATTGGACCTTCAAGACTGGAATTGAACATGCCTAATACAGACAACCATACATCCTTACCATGCTTGCTTGGCGACTTCATACTGGTAAGCTCTGGTGAGTTCATCTAAGTGGGCCTGTAAAATGGATTGCATCTCTTCATGGTGGGCAGAACTGAGAGAGGAGGATGACGGCTGGCTGAAGGGAGCTGGAGATGATGATCTTCCTCTCAAGGGTGGAGTAGGACCTCTCTCCTCTTCAGCTTCGCTTGCCAAATCCTGGTGGCGGTAGGTCTGAATGGACATGGGTGGGTTCCAGCTGTTGCTGTCGGTGTCATGAATAAAAGATATGTCATATAGGAGCAAATCATTTTGGTGGCTTTGCATTTTATGAGAGAATACAGATCTACAAATATACATGCATATTCTTTGAATCTACCTTTAAGCATTCTGATAGGATTTTAGTTGTAGACCAACACAAAGTAGTGCATAATCATAACAAAGACTTTATACATCAGTATGTTCAATTCTGACTACCTTTACTATACCTGATGACATTTCATCCAACATGGTTTCCAGGTAGAATGGCATTTGTAAAATGATCTGCCATACTATTTACAAATAGAAGTCAAGGGAACTACCAGAATAGTTAATTCTTTTATTTTACTTAACAAACTTTATTAATCTGCTCATCCAGTCTTATGGCAAAGAGTCAATCTGAATTCTTAGGGCCTTCTTTTAACAATGACCCTCTTTTTACACTTTTTCAAATCCGGATTTTTGTTTTTGGACTGTTAGGCAAACAGTTGTAACATGGCCTGCAAGCTGAAGTCAAGTAGTATTTGTACTCTTACAAACACTCAAGAACATATTTTGTCCCACTCCTGCCTCATCTGTTTAAGTAGCAACCCACCACAAGGTGACCCATCAAGCTGCAGTAATACAGTTTATGGGTGACAAACTGACGTCGGTCACTATCAGATCTGTTGTCAGAATCAATTATTTAATTTTGAAACATAGAGATCAAGAAGCAATTTGGTCATTTTTTTCAATCTGGTTTGCCAGGTTAGCTGCCTGCTACCTATATCATTTTGTTACTGGCTAAAACCTGGAAGACAGGGTATGCCTCACCCAATCAGCTCAAAAAGTTCTAAGGCTGCTATACATTATCAATTCTGCATTTCTTTTCTCTCCTCACTGAATTTTTGGAGCAGGCGGCTGTTTGTCCCGCAGGGAGCAACATTGGCTGATTTCCCAAATTAAACCTGTTTAAAAAAAAGAAGCTACTTTGTATCTTGAAAAAACCTTATATGTCTTAGAGTCGTTTTGTGACGCATTGCTTAAAGCCTCTAATGTCATTTTTTTATTGAAATCAATAGTATTATAGTATGGGGGTGCTAATTTTAAATACACATTAGACTTTTTAGATTCGTTTGTGCAAAATGTAGTGAAAAACAATTAGTTTTTCTATTCCCTTTTCACGAAAATACACAGCTTTGTGTTGGTGTATAACATAAAATTCCACTAAAAGAAGTGGTTGGGAAATGATAACAAATTGATTGAACAAATGCTGAGGTAAAATATTTCTGCAGAGAACATCACATTTAAGGTTCAACTTAATATGGCCTTTGTCTTTGCATTTGTTCTTCTCCTAACATTAGTTTTTTGTGCATTTGCGATACAAATGGAGGATTGATTAGATTTAAGTGCATATTACCTTCCTTTATGGTTTTCTTGGGGGTACTGATCAAGGTCAACCTCTGTGCCAGGCAGAGGGTGCATGGGCGGAGGAGGCAGGGGCATGTTGGCCCAGCATGTTCCATTTGATTTAGAGGTTTTTGTCCCTCCCTTGATCTTCTTTTTCTTCGCAACTTTAGCACCTAGGGGTAGGCAAGGAGAAATCTTTCAAATTATTTGAAGCACCATTGGTGATACTCCTCAATATTATTCTTTGTCAAATTTGTACACATACAAGTCGGCATGAAAAGTGATCTAGAATATAAATCTGCAGCCAGAATCTTTATACATTTGCCTTTCTGCAGGAATCTCTTCTGTTCCTTTTCTTTGTGCTGACAGCACATTAAAACAGTTCCAAATGTTGACATTTCTTAAAGGCATAAAAAACCTGTGGCAAAGACTTTATGTTACTTTCCCTTTCTTTGGTTCCCCATATCTCAACTGAGCCTGACATTTAACTGAACATTGTGCGGGACAGCTATACCTCCATGGCTTAAAGAAAGTGTATATATGCTAAATAATACAATTCAGAATGCTGAGAGATTTTCGTCCATTGCTAATCAAATTAAGCCAAAGGAATGCGTCATTGTTGTGTGACATTTCTGGGCTAGATAAGCTCTGCGGGTAGAAATATGATGGAGACAGAAGAGTAATTAAGAGCATTGTCCTGAAGGTCCACTTTAGTGAATATGTAAATAAATTCCTTCCTCTCTCATTTGCTCTTTATCTGAGTTTAGCTTGTAGGGATTTTTGAGTACATTTTCACATGGCTCATACCAGCACCAGGCCGCCTGTCAGTAAGTGAATAGCCCATGTTTGCAATTTCCTGCTGGGCCTGTAGAGATGCCTTCCATCGTGGATCTGGTCTGTCCACAGCCAGCTCATGAAAGCTGTTGGACTGGAGTATCTGAGTGGTGGCATAAGGGGTGGGCTGGCCGCTTCTCGCTGGGCTGCTGTAGCCTCCCTTTCCCATGAAGTCAATACTGCTGTAGATGGCCCCATCAGACAGCATGGTGCCCGTTTTCTCCACGGCTGCAGACGGTAAAACATCTGAGGGAAAGCGGGGTGGAAACAGAGTAGGGGGTGAAGTGGGGGGAAGGGAACAAAAAAGGGGGGGAGAGGCAGTGCGATAAGTTGACATGAAGTTAACGATCTTTAAGGTCATTAACGCTCCCCGCTGTTCTGACGCTCTGCATTAGTTAAAAAAAACAAGTCTAAAGTAGAGTTGATATAAATGAAAGTGATTATCAACAAGCGTAATTAGCATGCAACGCTCGGTGGGAGCCTGGTGGAGTGTTCAGAAGTGGGGATATTCAACAGCGCTAACCTTCAGCTCCACTGTCTTTCACATAAAAAAAGCCTGCAGCACACTAGTTTAAAGCACAACACTCAAATTAAAACCACCGACCTGGAGTATCACTCTAGTGCAAGCTTGGAAAATGCACAATGGCAGGAAAGGACTGCCAAAAATATATCAAAACAGCAAGAAAATTAAGCCAAATATCAAGCTTGTCAAATCAAATCAAGAATATATATCCCCTCAGAGGCTCTGTTAATTTGGATGCATGTGTTTGCAAATGCGATGTGCTGCCATGATGCTTCCCAAAGGATAAACGTCAAAACTGTCCACCAAGGCATTGCTAGTACTGTATCTCCCCTCCCCTCACTCAATGCCTGTGTTTCTTACCTCCTCTGCCAAAGTTGCTGCCACCCTTTGGACTCCCTAAGCCTCCGTTCGCTGGGAGGCTTGTAGAAGGCCACGAGTCAGCCAACCACGGAAGACCCGGATCGCCTGCTTTCAAAAGCCCTGGGCGGCTGTGATGAGGACGTTTCGAGTCAGACAAAAAGGATTGAGAGGGTTGGAGATAGAGGCAGTCACATTGTTACTCAGTCTCCCCCGTGCAAAAGTACAGCTCATTTTCATCCTGCTGCATCAACAATAAATTGATGCTAAAATTCATTCAGCATATTCTCGACCATGGAGCCGCCTCTGCACTGAGGCAACAATAAACAACAGAGAGACATCTAATGCCAAGCCTATAAATCAGAGACCCCCAAATAGAACTCAACCCCCACCTAATTATACTCCCCTACACCACAAGAAACATTGTACATCTAAACACACACTAAATCCACTTTAGAGACTTAGCACAACAGAAATTTACATTTTAAATTGAGAATCATGGACAGCCTCTGGCAGATCAGCTACACCGAAGTGCTGTCTCCATGACAACAGAGAAAGCAAAAAGCCCATTTGGTGGTTTAGGGGAAAGCTAATACATCATTTTGTCTTTGTGAAAACCACAATAGTTAGAAATACTTGCATTTGGGTTGAAGGTGATGAAGTTGGGAGGGAATAGTGATGTGCTAAAAGGAGGGGGGGATTATCGCTCCCTTCAAATGAGCTACAGTCAAAATGGCAAAACATTCTGAGCTCTGCATATTCAGCAAACATGCTGTGCACAGATGTTTTATGTGCTACTATATAGTGAATTTTTCATTAGATCTTACTCTCCAGGAGACAGAGATGCCATCCACTCTCAACATTACCACTACATTAAGATTTGGGGTAGATATACCAACAAACTAGCTCATTATTGTAGAGAAAAAAAGTTTTTTTTTTTTTTTTTTTTTTTTTTTTTTGCTAGTTTTATTTTCTTTCCATGTGACAACATAATACTTAAAGCTACAGTGTGTAATAATTACAGGGATATACAGTCAGAAATGTAATATATTATACATAACTATGTTATTTATCATCATCTACGAGCTCAGCCTCTTAACCTTAATATTTGCGTTGCCTTAGAATTCGTTATTTATAATTACATAGGAGCGGGTCTCGCAGCCATGGAGGCAGACATCTTTGCGCTACGGCAGCGCAGAGCCAACAAACTAGCGATTGCGAGATCGCCCATTACGCTCGAAAGTAACTACGGCAAGTTGAGAGAGATGAACTGAGACGGTACTGAACAATAGATGGCAGTATTAAAATTACCTATGTAAACAAACCTCATCACTTGAGAAGGTAGGTGATGCGGACGTCGTGGAAGACATTTTGTCCCATAACGCTCGCCGTACTGTTGGGGGGGAGAAGCGGTGGGGGGGATATGTTCATGTTGCTGCGGTCTGCAGTCTGAACGTTAGATGTCGCTAAAAATTACACACTGTAGCTTTAAATATCGCCATATTGTAAAACATTCTTCAGTATAATGGTATTACTAAGAGAATATCCATGTATCAAGATCAAAGGAAGGTAAATGTGAGGCTAACCAGAGAGCAACAAATTGATTATATTACATGCAACATCTGTCTGTTGACTGTTTTTGAAGGTAAAAGCTAAAGTAACATCATCTAAATAATAAACACATGACAGCTGCTGTATACTGCTTGGCACCTAAAGACTGATGAACTGATTCACACTTAAAAATTATATTTTTTAATGACTATGGAAATGCTGCGATTGACTAAATATTAGCAGCTAACAAAGCAGTAAACTGTACTACTGTATAACAGGTTCTTTAAAAAATGTGTTAGGACTGTATTTGATTGGTTTGTAGGAACATATTTTCATTTCCTACAATATAGTTCTGAAGCAGAGTTAAATATCAGCCATAATTATTAGAAAACAAAAGAGATAAAAACCAATCTTATTGGTAGTTTGCCATTTTATTCAGCAAAACAAGTAAATAATGTTATACTGGAAAAATGAAGTTTGATCTGATAGTTTTAGAAGCAGAAGAACATTTTAAAGGAGTCTCAAGGTTCAGCTCTGTGCTCTTTTACGTCTATATTCGTTATATTCATCTCATCTCCTCTCCCTTTGTGACCTCTCACTCTGCCAGGAACTTCAACATGAACACAGAGAGGGAGCGATTGAAACAGCTGCCCACCTGCATTAATTGCTTGCACTCACTTCAAAGGAGTGATTAATGATTTCATCAAGCCAACACCAGCTTGAATCATGCACCAATACAGTTTGAATAAGCAGGGGAAAAGGGGGTATGCAAATTCCATTCATCACAAGAGAACTCTTCATTTCAGGTTTTACAATAGGGCCCGAGCCAAGTGGAAGACTTGCTCTGCGTGGTGCTGAAATGTCAGCAGGAAAGCTCCAACAGTATGAGCTCTTTGGTTTGAAAGATTTAAACTCTCACCTTCCATTTCTGATCAGGCCTCTGTCTCTTTGGAATGTAACTTGAAATATAAAGAAGAAAAAAAGAATGAGTTCTACTGTTGTGCTGTCTATCAAGGAGTAACTCAAGAGTTTCTTTTTATCACCACACAATATGGATACATACCAGCTCGAGTAAAGGTGAAGGACTGAACTGCAATTCAAAAGGACGAGAGAGAGGAATTAAATGACACAGCAGAAGATGATTACCGTAACTAATTTCAAGTATACACAAGAACCAGAAGCTTTAAACTCATAAAGTTAAGAAATGTGGACTGATTATCTAAATTTTTCCTTGGCCTGATGTCAACCCAATCAGATCTTAACAAAAAAAGGAGAATATCATACTAGCACTTACTAATCTTAATAATCATTTTGACAGGTAATATTTGCATTGGTTGTTTTAAACCTCTGTTTTAAAATGCAGCATCTTAAAAGGCTAAACAAGCAGCATATTATAACAGAGAGACTGAGAAAAATCCATCCATCCATCCATCCATCCGTCCGTCCGTCCGTCCATCCATCCATCCATCCATCCATCCATCCATCCATCCATCCATCTATCCATCCATCCATCCATCCATCCATCCATCCATCCATCCATCCTTCCATCCAATTTGTGTTTATATCAAAGCTTCAAATATACAAGGATCTTTAATACGTTGTTATTTTTGACTTTTTTTTGTTTGGTATTCATTTTGCAATTAGGCAATTTTTCAAAAATAAAAATATGTGTTTGGTTTAGTGTACATGAACATGTCATGCCATGAAACTGTAGGCTGAGAATTTATGCAGACATTTTGTCCTACTGTTGCCTGTTTTTGTCTACACAGCTTGAAAAAGTGCATTTTATAACAAGTACAAGTATCTTTATTATTCTTTTTGCCAAATATGTCTGTTTCCAGAGTAATCCCACAGACTGTATTAACTGTTGCAGGTCTCTGTCTTTGTGTGACTGTCTCTGCTCTTTACTCTTAAGAACCTAAGAAGTAGGTCGTTATAGACAAACTAAAACAATTAAGCTCAGAGATTATGAGTAATAATTAAATAAGAAAATTAAAGAGTATTGAAAATACTAACTGATATTTATTTAATATAAAAACCTTTTTATGGTAACAATAGTTTCAAGACCCCTCTTGTAGGGAGAATGATACCAGCCATGAGATACTGTACGAACCTTGCAACAAGTAATACATATATGTACAATAACATCATTGATGGTAAACTCTGATTGATAATAAAACGATTCAGTCACAAATCGGGGACCAGTGTTCACGTTCCAATCACTCTATTCATATTAATTATTGCATTCCAGTTGAAATGAAAAAAAAAAAAAAAAGATTTGGTGAGGACCGCCCCCACTGGATTTTATACTACTGGCAAACAAGTGCAGGTCTATGCAAAGTGTTTGGGGAACAGGTAGCGCTGTTCTGTAGAAGAGCTGAGATCCAATTAAGGCGGTCAAGTAAATTAACCCTTCTCTAGAAAATCGGTAATGTTTCAGCAGATAGGTGTCAGGGAAGGCAAAGGGGTAATTTCAGTCCCTGAAGAAACAAGATGCTCTAAGAGCTGTCCTTAAAATTCCAGCTCCCTCATCCACAACCTGCTCTATAAACAGACAGACCATCTCTGCCACATACATAAGTGTGAGGGTGCTTTTTATGGAACTGGGCAAAATTCTTTTCAAAAAGCGAAAAAAGACAAAATATTCAGACATTTTGTAAAAATTCCATACATGTGCATATTCTTAATTGAGTAATAAAAAGTATACAGATATTAGTGCATGCAATTAATTTCCTGATATGTAACCTATAACTTACTGCCATTTTTGATAGCACCATGCATTCGGGCCAAGTGATTGCACTAATACCCTTTTTTACCACGGTGCTGGATTCAACAAAGATGACAAATAGTTCAAACCTAGACAGCTCTGAACCTGGTTGAAGCCGAGCTAAGTTTATTGGCTGAATTGCCATAGTAACTGAGTCAGACTCAGAGCGAGGAAGTTTCATAAAACTCAAATGAGAAAAACAATCAGCCAGACTTGGCCACCTGGCTTATGGTGGTGATCTATTTTGTCCCACTTATTCAGGTAGGGTCACTGTGGAGCTTCTGCTTAACTCCGGCAGTCTATGGGCAAGAGGTGGGGTACACCTTGAACAGATCACCTTTCTGACGCAGGGTGTTTTATAAAACCCACTTTCTGAAACTATCCAAAAGTAATTATTTGATCTTGGGAAACTCTTCTGATATTTTTTTGTCACTCATCTGTCAAAAGTCCCCCAAGGTATATCTGGTTGTGGCAAGTTTATAGTTTGAATGAAGTTAATTCTATTTCCAGATTTAACTCCAGCAGGGCCCACTGGAATGTTTAGAAACTAAAAACCTTCTGCCATCTACCAAATATGGATATTGTGCAAAGCAGTGGCATTATGAGTGTTTTACAACAATAAGCTTGTGAAGGTCTTGAATGAGTACTTTGCTTTTACCAATCGGTAGATCCTAGTGTGAACCCTTGGCAATGACACACCTTTTCATAGGTTATCAGTTTGATTTTAATGAGCAGATATTTATTTGCACTGATGAGGGACAGGATGACTTTCTACTAACTGACAAATGTCAGCTGGTGTCTTGGCTTCCCGTATGTTTTTTTTCGACCCTTCTGTTTGTGTTCAATATTTTTTTCCCTGTGCAATTTTAGATTATTACACATAACTTAATTAGTTATTCTTTTTTGTGTTGGATTCTTTCTATGTATGGATTACTTATGCAAATACAGGCATGCTGGGTAACCTGCTGTAAGCACAATACTGTAGCTCATTTCAGCTAACCAACAATGTCTTAAAGCAGCATTCCTACAGAAAGTACTGTCTTTCTCCAGAAAGAAGACATCAAAAAGCAATGTAAAGAATGTCATTGAAAAGCAAGTCAAGCTGTAAAAAAACAAAAATATATTCTAATAATTAATAAAAAACATTTATTTAAGTGCTAAATAAAGCTATTAGTGTTTAAGCATACAGTGCAAGGGATGTTAATAAAGTGTTATACTAGGACTTGCTGTGAGCAAATGCTTATTCTTAAATGACAGGGATTAGTTTCGGGATATCCCTGGTAAACAGCATGTTTTGGAAAGCAGCTGAACATATTTAATTGGATAGATGGGATGATATAAATCCCTATTGAATTAGGCAATTACGTCGTCTCTAAATCACTCTAAAGGAAGCTGCAACCACATAATCACACATGCATACTGCTAGAGGCTTGATTGTGACATGTTAAGAGAATATTTAAAAAATCCTAAACCCAGACATAGCTAATTTTAATAGACAAACATCACCAGTCGTGGTCTGATAATGGAAATGGATGTTAAATTACTTATCTTGCATAAATGTATTAGAGTGTTGAGGTGTGGTACTGATGAATCTCAGCAGAGCTGATGCACATGGATGCACAGTAAATTAAATCAAATAGGGCCTATTTCCATCTGTGTAGAATATATTTTCCTTTGTTCAGTGTTTTAGCCAGCTCAAATAGAATTGCATCTCTGACGACATCAGTTACCGCTGCAGGCGAGAGCCCTACTGTGCTTTGAGATTTTATGTTGATATTTTTGTGGTATTCCATCTTTTTTTTTACCTGCATAGTTGCTTAGTCCTTTCCTTTTTTTTCTCCTCCAGTATAGCCAAGCGCTAAAACCCATGAGGACAATCCAGCAGGCCCCTCCTAAACCTGCAATGAAGGCTGGCTGCTTCACCACATCTGAGATGCTGTTGTTGCCCTCTGATCCTGTCATCACATCTTTCAGTTCTCCACCTGAAGGCACCACAGAAGTTGCACATGCACACAAAAGGAAAAGACACAAGGGGAACATCTGAATGCCAAATGATGCCTCAGTATAAACAGAGTAATGAACACTGTTTAGGTGTTATGAGAAAAAGCAGTCCTTATAAAACTCTTATACCTACAATGGAAGAATCTGTCTTTATGTCTGCCTGTCTGTATATCTACATAAAATAAATGCAGGGAATTTAAAGTGTATATATTTTGGCAAAAAAAAAATCTTAAGTACAACACATGAACAGAGAGAGAGGTCACTTAAAAAACATGAGAAAAAAACCCCCAAAACAAAATAAAAATAATAAAAACAGCATCGGTGCATCCAATATAGACTTAATCAATTCAGCAGTGCACTTATCAACTTGAGCTGCAAGACATGAGATTGACAGAGCAGCTCTGAGAGTTTGATTTTTCTGTTGCAGCTACTGTGCTGTGAAATTAGATTCACAGTCTCCAGCAGAAACTCTCTCACACACACACCAACACACCCCCACACACATCCACGTGCACACCCTCCATCATTAAGCTTCACTCCATCGGCCTGCTTCCCCTTTTCTGTGTGTTAAGGGTGTTATTATATATCAGTCAAAAGTCATAGATGAAGAGCATCTGGCCTGGTCTGCCATATTGATTCGGGGCTTATATAGTCTGGGCATCCTTTGGCTATTTCAGAAGATGTGATAGGCTGATAAGCTCCTACAAAAACACAGCCTTCAATGTGTTAGCACCAGCTGCCCACATATTGAGAAGGATTATTGATATGGCTAACAGTACTTGGCACGGTGTTACCAGACACTACACTTAATGAATCACTATTGATTTCTCCACAGATGCCTGCGTTGTAAAGTGCAATCTTCTTTCTTCTGGGGCGATAAATTGCTAAATCATTTTTCCAGACTCCTGATCTGCTATAGAGACCAAGGTACCCCCCATTATAAGGTCGTTTCATTTGACCCCAGGTATCGAGTAAGAGTGAATTACCCAATATGATGAGCTGGGGTTTGCTTCTGACCCCCACCCCAGCGCTGGTGCCTGCTGCCACCTCCACACGGTACTGCACTCCAGTCTGTAGACCCCCGACAACTACTGAACGGATGGTTGCATCCACAGACTTGTTGACGTGAAGGCGTGTATCGTTGGCTAAACACCAAATCTGACACACACAGACACAGAGGAGGGTATTTAGCGTAATGTTTTGTTACACATGGTTGAGAAATGCAGTGTGCATAGGAAGTGGAAGATGGGCTTACCTTGTACTCCTGGATGATGCCATTCTGTTGGTCAGAGGGAGGGGGGTCCCATGACACACTGATGGATGTGCTGTTATGGCTCCCCACCGTCAACACTGACACTTGCTGAGGAGGTGCACTAGGAGCTGATGGTTTATAGTGGGAATAAGAATGAGATATAACATTTTGAAAGATTATTCAGGTTCCTTGCAAAGCTATTCATAACCATGAAAGATTTCACAGTTTATCAAACAAAAAAAATAAAACAAAACTGGCATTTTAGGAGACAGATCTCAGAGTGGCATGTTTAAGTCTTATTGGTTGTGTCTCTAGAAACATAAATCTTGCCCATTCATCTTTGTATTATAGCTAAAGCTTAGGCAGATTAAATCCAAAAGTCATACAAAACTGTTTATAAATTTTCAATCATAGGTATGAATCTTGAGTTTTGAAAGACACGGAAATGCTTCAATCCAAACAATCTTTCTGTATTGAAATATAAAATGCCGACTAGCCTCCCTCTCCTTGCAGAAGAAACACTTTCCAGGAACATGAACCGAATGCCTTGATGTTTTATACTTTGGATTGTTTGCAGTGTAAGATTGTAGCTATACATTTCTTTTTGCATCTTGAGCAAAACGAAATGTATGGCCCTCTACAGTCCTTCCAAAATTATTATGGGAGTCTTATTATGTTATTCATGGTTATCAGAGAAAACAACTGAGAAAACTTACAAGCCTGACTTTTCAGATGTTGATTTAGTGAAACACAGACAGCAATTTTCTATCCACCTCAAAATAACATACTTATGTTAGTCTATCACATAAAATATAGATTTCAAGGAAAGATTACGGAAATCGCTCGCTATTCTTATTAGAAGGAAAGAAGGAAGTCTTGTGTATTTTTAATCATTTCAAAGTACAACTTGTCTCTATCTCTTCCCTAATTTATATTCATACAATAAGCCCTACAACAAGGTACTTTCAAAGATAGCCTGGCAGATGGTCTCTAAAACAATTTATCTCACAGAGTGGAAGATTCCAATATCTTAATAGCATCCTGAGTTATGCAGGCCAAGCATTTGAGGTCCAAAATGTGCTTTTCTTAATTGCAAAAATGACAGCCATTCCAAGCAGATCAGCAAGTTTAGATATGAGCATGAACTCGTGCCAAGAAAAAGATGAGATGGTTTGTTGCCACAAATGTGGAACCCTAAGGGGCCAAATTAAAACTCTCCTGTTAATAAGTTCTGTTTCTTTTATTAAAATGTTCAAATTGGCTTAGTAACCTGCACGGAGAGATCAAAGATTTAATAAGGCTAAACAGGCAGAGGAGGGGCAAACATAGAGCTTGTGCAACTAAACAAATGATCTTCTCTTGAAAAACAGGGTATGTGAAGTAGTTTCTCATAATTCCCATTAAAGTAGAGATATGTTCGAACTGAGTGGATAAGAGAAGTACCCTGACCCCGATTAAGAGGTTGTAAAATAATAACTCTCTTTGCAGTGTCCAGATAGCATGCAAGACTGGCCCTTTTAAAGCTGTGTAGAGAGGGCAAAGCAGGTGATGCATTATCTTGGCCAGACTGCAGATTTGAGTCCATATCCGGAGCTGAACTTGCATCTGAAAATGAGCAGGTAGGAGCACAAACAACTATCTTTCAGAGGAAATATTATGCTCTATACAGCATGTATTAGGTATGATGCAGTGGCGCCAAGCCATAAGGAGAGCTCAGCGTCTGGCTCAGCTCATAAGACAGAAATTCAGAGTTAATTTAGTTAGCTTGTACTTAAAGAGGAGCTTTCATCAAACATGACATGCCTGCAGAGGATCTGGTGGAATGGTAATAAATCCACCCTTATCATTTCATACCTTTAATAAAACATTTAGAGGGCTTTGCGTATGCATAAATTTAGTTGTTTCAACTTTAGAGACTTTCTGGGAGAGCTGGTTTTAGACGGACACACATATTTAGTCTTCTGTACTGATAAGTAAGAGTAAACTCATTTTGGGCATTTTTTGTTAACACAAATTATGATGAAAGATCATAAAAAGCAACATGGCTTAGTGACATCGAAAAAAGTTTAATGTGAAGTGAGGTCAGTAACGATAAAACAGTAAAGGAGTTAAGGAGCCATTTGAGAGGCCTCAGAACTTCAGCTGATCCCAATGATATCCATCATCCATTAATGGAGGAAAACATGGAATAGCACAAAAACCCTCTTAGAAGTGATCAATCAAAATTAAGTACTAGAAAAAAACAAAAAAAAAATATACAGAATTCCAAAGGAAACAACACATCTTAAAAGAAAAGAACAATAACAAAAACGCTTGCGTCAAAATTAAAAATTTTTCTGCAGAATTACCCAAAACAGCATTTTGCCAAGAAAGTTAAATGACAAGTTAAAATAAATAAGAAAATAATTGTCATGGTCTTGGTTCTGCTGTTCTTTACTTTGCTCCTTGTTTTCTAGATTTATTGGTTTAATTCCAGTTTTGTTGTATTTCTAGATTTATATTAGTTCTCATGTTTTCCTGTTGTCCCCTTTTGCCCTCTTGTGTGTGTATGTTCCTTTCCCCTTGGCTCCCTCGTTGTCTCCTCTCACACCTGTTCCTTGTCTGCTCGTTAGCCCTCCCTTTGTCTCTCTCTCCTATATATGCTCTCCCTCTGCTCTCACTCTTTGTTGGTTCCTTGTCTTTGCTGTCCTCCCGTGCTGTTGTCCACATTCCTCGTCTCTCCCTGGCTCCTCGTGTTCGGTTTCCCCCAGATGTCTCCATAGTTCTGGTTCGCTTTGATTATTAGTTGGATTTTTGCATTCCTGCCTTTGTTACTGTTTTTGCCCCCATTAAACTTCCAAGAAATCTCCTCAGCCTCTCTGCCTCTGCATTTGGGTCCTCTACAACAACCAAACCCTGACAATAATATACCTACAGTCAGTTGTTGTTAAAAAGGTTGGAATCACACACTTAATGTTTTGAGAACAACCAATGCCCTTTTTTTTCAAAAGGACCAGGTATTTACACAGGTTATTCTGGTATTAAAATTTGTTTCCTGATCTCAAAAATTTGAAGTGAAACAAAAAAAAGCAAACCCAATAAGAAATGTGTATGAAGGTATTTACTTTTCAGAGCACTTTAGTATAAGAACAGACTACAAAGCTGTTTGGTAGGTGTGCTGCTATGTGCATCATTGCAATGGCATTATACTATACATATTAATAAATAGACTTTTTACAGTTAATTAAGCAAAAACAAGCAAACTAATTAAACTCTTCCCTTAAAACATCCAATCTGTTCCACCCTCTAGTTTTTCATTATGAAATCTTGCTATTAAATGGTTTCACTGTACAGTAGAACTGCTTTTATTTCTAATTAATATATTATAATATACCACAAGGTAAATCCTTTCCATTGCTTTTCATTTCAGAGCACCTGTCTAAAAAGATGGAGGTTTTCCAGTCACACAAACACTTTCCATTAGAAGGAACCATTAAGTATATTCCAATAACCCTTAGATGTATAGGAAAAGTCCCCCAGGATGTATAATAGCTACAACACCAGTAATGACTCAAGATAACATTACTAGAAATGATCCTGAGTGAAAAATGTCAAGGAGCATCTATCTTGTCTGCATTTATCCGATTGATGACCAGTATAGCTGCTGGCTTATTTATCACAATCCATGTGTTTCAGAGAACATGTTTATGTACTCATCTGCATGGTTAAACTAAAACCACTAAAACGGTTTACTGTCCTGCTGTACAGGAGGCAGAGCAGATAACATAAGGGGGTTTGAGATAACTGTGCAAGTTATTTGTGAGTTTCAGTAGAAAAGATATTTACTTCAAAATGAGCTATTAAATCTAAGTCTAAGTGTAAATACAAGCTATTGTCTAGAATGACCAGCCGTACTATTAGGTACACCTATTCATTGCTTATTAAGACAAATTGAAAACCATCTAATTACAGGAATCTAGATGTGAAAAATATGATTTTCTGAATTTACACTAAGCAATATGTTGGGAAACTGATTATTTATGTGAGTTTAAACCTAGCATGGTCATTTGAACCAAATAGGGATGGTTGGAGTAATTTAGAAACTGTTGATTTCTTTTATATTCGATCAAGGGATAAAATAATAAAAATAAACAACAACAATAAGCAGCGGCATTAATCTAAAATTCCTTATTGATATCAGAGATGAGAAACAAATGGGACAACTTGTTCCAGATGACGTAAAGGCAACGGCTTACATAAAACACCATAAACAGGGTATACAGAATACTTTCTAATACCTTGAACCTGATGGTTGGCAGCAGCAGGAGACCACACTCCTGGCAACAAAAAATAGCTGAGGCTAAAATACATTCAAACACACCAAAATTGGATAATGCCAGATTGGGAAAAAATTGCCTGGTCTAATGAGTATCCATTTCTGCTCTGGCACTGAAAGGGTACCGTCAAAATTTAGTTTAATTGATTTGAAAGCATAAATTTATTCTGTTTTGGATCAGCTGATTGTGATGGGAACATACTTTATTGTCCAGCTTTGAATCACTGAGAACCATCTGAATTTCTGCCACACAATATGTTATAGCCCACCTGAGGACTGCTGCTGACCAGTGTTTTTTTAAACCCTCTCCTAATGGATTTCACAAAGCTCAAACAACCTTAATCTGGTTTCTTGAAAATGAAAATGAGCTCACTGCTTTGGAACAGCCTTTAGTCAACAGATATTAGAATTATGTTGGGATATGGTGGGACAAAACATTTCTATTGTGAAGTGCAGCTATAGTTTTATTATTATCTGGGCCACAATCTTTGAGGAATAATTCCAACACTTTATTGGATTTATAACCAATGCAGTATTCAGACAAGTATGAAGGCAGACAGACATTGCAAGGACCCATAATGTGTTACCTTATAAATCGGCTAGTGAGTGTTTCTCTACAATAGTATTTGTTCCATAAATGATGCACTTGGCTTTCCTCTACCAAAACAAGATGCTAACAATTGACTAAATGCTGTATTTTTCACCTGTCTCTTTAGCACATCATTATTTCTTTCAATTTGTCACTAAACATGTTGGAAAACCTGAGGATCCTATAGATATAGGGGACAGAAAATCTCTACTTATGACTAACCAAAATTAATGCAACACAAAGTTTAATGGACGGAACATTTTCTCTTTTATCACTTCATTATGCCTTGTAGTTCAAGAGTAGGGGTTCTTTTTTTCATTTTATTCCTTTGGCATATATTCAGGTTTAACAGAAGCAGAGACTATCTGCCAATGCTTTACTAAGGTAATACAAGCGTCTTTTTTCTAATGTTTGATCAGAATTCTGCTGAACACATCCAGGACTATGGATAATGATAGCTCAAGCCAATGTTTTCAGTACCATATTTCCTTGTTCGCAGTATCTCAAGTAAATACAGCATGTGTCTCAGTCGGTACAAATCTCTGGTGATGCTGTGGGGCCATTATAATTGGGTCCCAATGCAGTAAGTCTTCCTTTCTGCACCAGTTGCAAGCAGTGTTTTATGGTCATACACAGTTGCTTTAGAAAAATGTCTTTAAACATCAATAATCCTGTTGCAGTTTTGTCTGTGTGCAAACCGGTTCCTCTGCTGTCCAAGAGATGTTACACATGGTCACAGTGAATTAAGGCTCCTTTTGTTTTGCTCAGAGGTAAAACGGATTGCGTGAATGAGTCATTATAATTCATTCTTCCCTTGGGGAGAATTGTTTATAAGAGAGACTTTAACTAGAGATGTGTTCTAAGTATGCTGTGGTTCCAATTATATTAAATAGTTCAGCAGCATTTCAGAAGATCCATACCAGTAACTGGAAAAGATAAAAACTACTAATAAAAAAAAAAAAAAAAAAAGGAAAATGGGATGGGATTTTTACTAAGAAAAACCTAGACTTGCTTTATTTTACTTTATTCTGTTTCACATGCATGTTCATTATACAGATTTTACGTATATTAATCATAACTGGCAACTTTAAACATACTATTAGATATACAGTGCCTTGCTAAATTTTTCATTTAAAAAGCCGGTGATGAACGTCTTCAAAACATTGTTGTCTTACTGAGCTAACAAGTATAAACTGCATTACATCTATAACCTTTAGGCACCAATGTAGATGGACATAACAGGCAATTTTCAAACAGCAGGTTTTGATGCTTAATTTGTCATGATCTTGGCACCTTTAGGCTGGGTTATTGCTCTCATCTGCTCTGCTCCGCCCTGTGCTCACTTTCTCTCTTCAGATGCAACTGTTTCTGCTACTATTTAAGCCTACGGATCCTAGCCTTTGGTGCCAGAATGTAGATTTTACAAAACGGTACACTATTTACAAAACTAATAATGGATGTGACAGTCTCCTTAAGTGTTCAATAAGGCTGTGATAAAAGAAATAACAAACATAAAAACACAACAGAAGATACCAGTTTCTCTGTGTTATTATTAAACTGTTGAACAACTCCGTCTTTAGCTGCAGCAAAACAATATCGGAGATTTTAGATGAAGGCCTATTCTGATATTTTTTGGCTGAAATCGGACCGATATCCAATATCAATATCAAATTGGGACCTCACTTTCACTGCCGTGTATTGTAAAAAAAAAAAAATAAATAAAGTAAAAGAAATGTGAGCAAATCCACAACCTCCTCTGCACAACACTTCTTGCTGGAGGCCATTTATGCCATTTGTTCATTTCAAAACGTCTTGGTCGCACTGAATAGTAAACACAGCTCTGAGCCACTATCCTCCTCATTCTGTCTTTTTACCAGGTGAAGCAGACACAATAGAAGAGCCCAGTGAAAGTCCTGTAGAGACCTCCCCTGCCCCCAAACACCGCCCTTTACCTTTGCAGATTAACATATGTGAATAGATAGGCACTGAAATGCAAACACGCACACATCAACACACATAAGTGGTGTAACACTGGCCTATACATTTTTCTGTGTAATGGTGCTTGTCAAGAGCCAATTTCATGAAAATTTTGATCTAAATAACATATAGACCTAATGTGAAAATGAGTTAAGAATAAAAAGTGAATAAAAGTGTGAAGAACACTTGAGAGTGGGAGACTGTATGTTTGGAAGAACCACCTACATCCTGAGGGATGTGCCAGTTACCAGGTTAAAGCTCTTTAAAGCAGAGCATTTTTGCCTAGTCAACCTAATACATGTGTAGACTTTAGTACACAGACTGGTGGGCAACAAAGTGGTATAGTGGCATGTAAGGAGGAAGCCTACCTTCATTTTGAAACAAAACTGCCCTACCTACCCAAGTCTGTAATAGCCAAACTCCAGAAAGCTAGGCGGGTTTGTGCTCTTTCCTCAAAGCATTCTCCCTTCTACTAAGATCGAAACTGGCTAGAATTCCTCTTTTATTACAAAAATTTCAACTACAATGAGTATCCTTATTTCACACATTTACCATTTTCTGTACACGGCTTTTGGCAAACGATAATAGGAAGTCTTGAGACTTTCTTTCAGGGATAGCTTTCTTTGCCAAGTTTAATCAGGGCCATATTTGTAAAGTGCCATTCTAATAATTGCTCTGTCAAAACGTTCTTCTACCTGAGCAGTCAAGCTATGTAGCTTCTCAACTGCTAACATGACTCTATTAGTGTATGTATATACTTTTCTAATAAATGTCCTTTATGTCTATTTGGGCAAAAGATGAAGAGCTCAAAACTTAAGAGAGTATTTAATAAGCTAGCATTAGCCCTAACCACTGTGGCACTGAATATTTATGGTTGATATTACAGTACAAGACAGTGATTTCATATGGTGGCCACACAATTCAAGAACAGACTTGGAAATAAAAAAAAAAAACATATAAATGTCATTAAGTTGTTCTGGTCTAAAGCATATAGTCCCAAGAAAATAAACTGACATTTGTTGGATAAGTATGAACATTTTTGCAAAGCATTGAAACTATAACTACCAACAGAAATCTGAAATCCTCAGCCTGAAAAACAAAGATAAAAGCTTTGATGAAAGCCACAGTGGGATATTCAATTTGTACTGCAAATACCAAGACAAGTGTGAAAAGTAGCTGATCTACTGACTTGAAAAAACAAGAGAAAAAGGAGGACAGAAAGAAGTGTTACCACCCTTAAGGCTGATTGGTAAGTGTCTTAGCGATAGGGGGTCATATAATGCATGTCTGGACATGAACATGACAGCAGGGGTTCAGAGCTAAGCAGAGCTCTCTCCATTTAGAGAACTGAGTTTAAGGCACACGAGATGATTTCTGCCCTCCCCCTCTGCCCACCATCCCACAGAGGCCTTGAATTGTCAAAGAGCCCCACTGTGATGTGTTGGAGACCTGTTTTCACACACAGGGGATATATAACACTGCACCAGTAAGTGTGGGTGGGTGGGTGTACTTGCAGTGCCATTATCCATTACTATCAAACCATGAAGCCCTCATCAGTGGCAACTAAACACAAAACTAAAATGAAACACAACATGAGCCCAACTGCTTATGGATCAACAGCTAAATCCCAAATTAAATATAATTACTAAGTTAAGAAGACGGAAAGGTCAGAAATGCAAAGCCACATACCTTCTTCCATGGTACGTGCTGTCATGGACTCGCTGTCAGCTCCTTGGAACTCATTAAAATACGGTCGCACCTTGATCTCGTAGACAATGCCTTTGTTCAGAGCAATAAGAGTTACATCCCTCTCTGAGGCAATCCTTACGTCCTGAATCTGCCATGGCCCGGGAGAGGGCAGCCCAGAAGTTTGTCGATACAAAACCCGGTAGCCTTGAATGAACTGGGATGGGTTTTCCACCTTTACACAGGGAGAAAAGGGTAACAGTCTTTTAAATGCATATTTAGTTTAGGAACAGAGAAAAAGAAACCATTACTATATGTGCATTTTACCTTTAACTCACTTATTTTTACTAATTTATCATATTATAAAAACTATTAAATGCAATTTAATGTACAGATTTCTTAGACTGTATGGTGACTAACACAAAGTAACATATACAGTAAATGTGCAGGAGAAGAGGTCGGATATTAATTGCATTCTTGTCTCTACGACCCCCACAGTGAAAAACGTGTAGGAAATGTTCTTGCAAAATACCTTCAAAATAAAAAAAAAATATGATGGCGATAATCTGAGAGCAGCAAATTTTAGGTTTTTCCACAGATTCTTAATTAAATTAAAGTCTAGTCCTCGACTTGACATCTATAAACCATGAATAACTCTGGATTATCACCATTCCTTTGAAGCTTCTCATTAGAAGGTGACCCCAGAATAAAGTATTTTGCACCTCTGTATTTAGCTCCATCCATTTTCCTATCAACTCTACAAACTTTGACCAGTCTCCATGTCCTTACTGAAAACAACTAAATCCACAACATGACACTGCCACCATGTTGTTTTGATGTGGCATGTTTAAAATTAGTTTTTAGTTCCTTTTGTGTTTTGTATGTAGGTCAAAACGTCAAACTTTTAGTCTTATCTGACCAGAGCATCTAGTTCAATGTTTTTTCTGCTCCCTGCATGGAAAAAATTAAAGACCACTCATTTGAATGCATAGCTAGCATTAGAACAGAAAACAGACCATTAACTATATGTGCATTTTTACTTTATGATCATAAACTCTCATAGAGAATAGTTCAACCATGTTTTTTTTTTTTTCCCCTACGACTATCACACAAAACAAGACTGTTTAAGCGTATGACTAATAGCTGTCCTATCACCTGAGTTGTGTCTGGGGAAATGCTTGGACTTAATGCTTTTGGTTTACAAATTGTTCTGGAACAAATGAGACCATTACAGGATAACTGTATTTATAACCTATCAAAGACAGCAAAAAAACTAGTATTCAATGTTGATTATGGTCAAAATGTACGGTTAAGTCGATAATTGATGGTGGATCAACCATCAAACAATCATCTGATTCTGGCCTATTAACCAGTGTTAAGAAGTCATTAAATGAATGTTTTGTGGTCGAATTCAAATGATTGAAAAGCCCATGTCTAATCAATGCTGAATTAATGTATGCTGTTTATCACTCTCTTCTCCTTCCCTCCTCCGCTTTCAGCTCTGGGTGAGAGGCTTTTATCATTGGACATGGGTTATCATGTTTTAAATTAAGCACCACATGTTTAGGATAGTAGGTTTGGACTTTTCTCTTTACATTTTCTGACATGTCTATGAACATTATTGTTAACAGTTTCTACATAATGTGTAGTCAGAAAAAAGTAACTACAAGAAGTTGTGCGGTAACCCCATTCACATGGGCAGTATACATCAAAAACACAAGCTCTTTTGCATTTCTTCACTCTGTTTACTTGTTTGCAACCTGCTTCTGCTTTTTGCCCTACTTTTGCAAGGGAGGGTAGGATTATAAAAAAAAAAAAGAAAAAAAAAAAAAAGCATTTTCCAATTTGTCCTCAGAATGATGTTGTGAATATGAAATAGGTAAGTAGAGATGGTCTCTGGTTTAACAAGGATGAAAAGAAAGCCAGCAGGAAACTGGTACTATTTTCAGCTTGTGCAACACACTACCTAATTATTGTTATTATGTATCCAAAATGTGAAATTGGGGGAAAAAAAGGGACATTTGTGCAATTGCTCTCGCAGGACATTTTTTGAACTTAGCTAGAGTGACTTTTTCTATCAATATCAGGCCAAATGTATCCTGGCTCATAACCTGCTTAGACAATGAAACATTTTGGAGTAATTAATGTAAGTCTTCTCATCAAAAATGGAGGGAGTTCAAATGTTTATGGATTCTGATCCAAAATCTAGTTTATCATACATGGATACCATATGGGTAACTAGTAGGTAACAAGCTGGTTCCAACCCTTCTTACAGTAAGTGTGCTTTGTGCCTACAAAGGCAGGTGCTATAGAGACCTTGTAAACAGAGTAAAACACAATCCCTGGATAAATTGTTGCCTGCAAACTGTTTCCAGGAGTGAGACATGCATCACCTAATGGTGATGTATTTGCCCTGAACACACACATTAGTCTTTATTCATGCTCAACCTCAAACCAATTTAAACAACAGGTGTTCAGACTGAATGTATATGCAAGCCAAAACGCATCTGTTTACAAAGAGGAAAGACCTCAAAGTAGCCTGATGCAGTTTAGATTTACCTTTCAAATGATATGTAAAGCAGAACTTCAAGTTGTTTCCCAAAGTGTTGCATTGTATACTCACTGTCCATGTAACCTGCACTGAAGTGGAGCTAAGGACCACAGGATTATGCATATTGACCACAACTTCCCCTAGCTCCTTCTGGACACGGCGATGGTCTACTCCTTGGACTGTGGGACTAATGTCTGAGGGGAAGAGAGAGATGCAGACACGTAGGTCAAAGATAATTACTACAAATGATTTATTGCTGTTCAGTCTTATCTTCTTACCCTGCGTCCGGACAGGCTCAGACATTGGGCTTGGGTCCCCTAGTCCTTGAGCATTCACAGCCCTTATTATGAACAGGTACACAGTGTTTGGTCGTAGGTCCTTGACTGTAAATTTGGTTGTTTTCACGTAGTCCGCCACTGTTTGCCAACTATTACTCACAGACTGGCTGTAAGAAAAAAAAACAATAAAAAACAAACAAAAACATAATTATATCAAGCTCAAATAACAGTATGGTATATAAGGCTGTTGATTTTCGCTTTTGAGGAAGGTATAGTCTGCCTTAGTCTCCAGTATTTCTTTGCATCTCATAATGCAGCACACACAATTTGATCCCTCACTAAGCCATGCGATCATTAGATTTTACCGACATGCACCATGCACCACTGCTACTGTAGGTAGATTACACAAAGGCTACTCAAATGTTACAGCAGAATCTCTGAAAATAACATAACTAAACCTTATCTATGTTATACAGGAGCTCCATCTGCACAGGGGAAGTTTTATTAAGCTCTGTTTACCAAATCATAGAAGCAATTGAAACAGAATTTTTCTTTTGTAGAATTCTGGGACACTGAGATAATTTGATGTTAAGTTATTCCTTAAACAAGGCATTTTTATTGTTGCAAATGTAGCTTGTAGGTATACCAAAATGTATTTATTTATTTGTTTTCTTTATTTTTTTTTTTCTAAGCAAATGTGACTCCCCTGTTAATGCATGAGCATTTTCTTTTGACTCTTTATATTTGAATTTTTTCTTTGCATCAAACAGCCTGGGCTTGCTTGAACTCCCTACAGATAGAACCCCCTACGTTTGCTGTAACATTCAAGTTTGGGTCACTAAGTGTTGCTTTTGGGCACAGGTCATAGACGTACCCGAAAGCCTCAATGACATAGGAGGACACTGGGGAGCCCGCCTCTGGCCCCGGTTCCCATGACAATGAGATACTGCTCTTGGTAACGTCAGTGACCTCTGGCTTGGAGGGTGGCCCAGGGAGGGCGGTTGTGTTGTGTGACATGAAATCCATGAGGTCAGTGGAGTCTGAGGAGAGAAAAGAGGCTGAATAAACACTCTTAAAATCTTTGAACTTTTTCAGATTTTGCTGGTTTACAGCTATAAATTTTATTTATTTTATTGGTATTTTATGTCATAGACCAACACAGAATTGCAAAGTAATTTTTTTTTTATACAAAATGTATAGAAATATCTTGTGCACTTGCGATGTATATTCATACAGTATTAATTCTGTATGTTTTAGTAGTAAAAACATGCTAAAAACGCCACTAAAGGACAGATGCAGGACAGTGATAAAGTTGGGGAGAACTGGACAATGTAAGGTAATGAAAAAGAATATTAAATGTTTAAAATCTCATGGAGCCGCAGTTCAATCTACCTTCACACCTAATAAGACAAAGGTTTCTGTTTTGTACAGATTCCTCATGGCTAGGAGAACGTTAATCAGGGAGGCAGCAAAGGTCTTCCTTTAAGTGGCAGAGATCCACAGCTCAGAATGAAGACCCTGTCAACACTAAAACTATTATCTGTCTGCTGGAATTCTTGTATTTATGAAATAAACTGCTAAAATATACACAAACTGTTTGAAATTTGCCAAAAATCATGTACATGCGGCAAAGGTTGAAGATAGTGTAGTAAATTGGATGATTTAGCTAAAGTGCAAAACATTGTGTAGCACAAAGCTAATGCAAGAAACATTTTGTACTGTTTCAGGATTAGATTTTATATTTACAAACCATATGAATTTCTGTCAATCTGACTCAGTTGGAAATATTTTTGAGGAAATCTTTAGTCTGTTGGTGCAAAAGCCAGTAGAAACAAAAGACTTGCAGTGGTACTCGGAGCTGCAGATTGTTCTACAAAGTATTTACTAAAGGATATGGATAAAAATGTATAAAAAAAAAATAGAAATCCTTGTTTTCCTTCCCTTTTACAACAATAAACCCCTTTGTCTGGTACAGTCACATGGCATCCGAATAAAATTAAGATGTAGTGTAGTGTGAATAAATGTGGAAATAAAAAGACTCAAGGAGTATGAGAAAATTTCCGACTTCATAGGAGTGTCTTAATCCATTAAACGAACTATTCCCACAGACCTTTGACATCTAAGTAGGCACTCCAAGTTGTTTCTCCACTGGAGCTGGTAGCAACACAGGTGTAGAGTCCAGAGTCAGATAGCTATGGAAACACATTACGATATTATTCTTCTTCTCATATATAATGTCTTACATGACAGTTTAATTTCTGAGTTGTAACACATGAATTCAGCATTAAAAAATCAAACAGTTGGATGAAAGCATGCATCTTAAATCAACCCCATAAATATTTTCCACAGATCCATATCACACATGATACTGCTTTCAGGTTTGTTCTCTATCATTGTGTTCAGCTGAGTGCAACAGCCTTTGTAACTGTGATCCCTGATGGCTGCTACAAGCTCCTGCATCAGTCTGGGCTTTTGAAGAAGGCTTGCAGCTCGCACTACAGTAAAAACGCATTAACCTTGCCTGGCCTGCATTTGGCACGGGAAAATCTGTAGAGTGGATGAGTGGAAACTTTACTATTGGCCAGTGAAAAAAAGAGATGCCATTAAAAGCTTACATTAATTTTCTTAATTGATTTCCTCCAATAATGGTCACACGCCATTCCCATAACCATCAGCATTCCCATCACCAGTGCTGACACAGGAAATGAGAGATACCACAACGTGTTTCATACCAGCAAAGCTTTAGGAGCTGCTGACAGAAAAGCTATCTCTTGGGAGAAGGTAGAGGAGTGACATAAGAAGGACACTTTGACTCAACACTGTGTATAGCAGATTCTCCATTATACCAGCACCTTCAGACTCCTCTCAGCGATTGCTGTCCCTGAGTCCTTGATTCGAACTGCTGCCTCAGAGATTCAAACTAAAAAGCAGCGTTTAACGACTCATAAAAATCAATACTTGCTATTCATCTTTTAAAAGCAAACTGACTGCACTTGTCCTCTTGAATTACGCTTGGCTGACATCACCTGACAGACCATCAAATCTCTTTATTCTTTCAAGTGATGCACGAGATCTGATGCATAAATAAAGCAATAATCATCCAGATTTTTGCTCTTTGTGATATATTTTAAATCTGAACTAAGATAGCATTTATGTTCGGTTCTAGATTAAAGAAAAAGGGTTAAGTCTGAATATTTGCTGATGCATCTTGCATGTTGTTGGTTAGTTTTATGGGGCGTTTTAATGTTTCATTTAACAACAGTGGCTGTCGGTATGCGCTCCATCCAATCCAAAGGACTTTTTAAAGTCCCCATCTTTTTTAGATGCTTTTTCACAGGGGACTTCTGTGATTGTTTCCTGTAGCAACCCATCTGCTGCATCAGGTTAGAGTACCAACCAAACCACTTCTAAGTGAACCGTGTTTCCTTGCAATTATCTCTAACACTTCAGGGTTGACAAACTGAGAGGATGCTTGTGAAAGCACAACACTCCCCAGCCAAATCTTTTTACAAAACAGTTTAACCCAGAGCCCTTGAGATTAAATGATAATTCTTCTCCGTTTCCCTTTCATTTTGGATGTTCTTTTTGACATTGTTTGATTTTTCTTAATTAGGGGTGTGACCAAATCTTGTGTAAAATCTCAAAAATGCCTAAGAAGTTCAGATCAAATTAAAGTCTGTTTTGAAAAGCACTAGTCAGTTGCTGTTGGGATGTGACTCAAGTGTCTTGTGAAAAAGATCAGAAGCTAAAAATTCTACCCAATCTTTGTATGGGCATTACATCGGCTGTTGTTATATAGAAATATAACACTTGGATTGATCAAACCTAAAATACTTTTGCTTGACACCTGTTAACAAACCATTTTTACTTGTGTACTTAATAAAAAAAATGACTTGATTACCAAAAAGGCTGATGTGTATTTGTTTTAAAAAGTATGATTACTCACCATAAAAAGCTTTACAACACAACTAAATCTGCAGACATGCAACCAATGAAGGGCTGAAATGAAATGGTGAAAAGTGCAGAAAAACAACAACAACAACACTAACTACAAATTTTTAAGGAGAATTCCCTCTAACCCACCCTCGTGTTTTGGATCTGAAGGCTTCCATGCTCCAATAAGGAAAAACGTGGGTCTTGTCCAAGTAGATTTGCCCCATTCTTTCTCCAGGTGACTGTTGGCTCTGGATCTCCTGACGCTTGACACCTGAGAACAGACACGCCTCCTAGAATCTGGGTTTGGTTGGATGGACCCTGCCGGATAATGGGTGGAGGGCGTCCCTTCGAAGCTGAGAAGCAAAGAAAAATACCGAATGTTATTCCAATGTGTTGTATCTGTGTTATTTTCTGAAATAAAGAAACAAAGAACATGTTTTTTTAATTAGTTGTTTCAGTGTGAAAAAGGTAGCTGACCTTCTCACAAGGTGTTAATTCGGAGCTGCAATAATTATATTAGTGGCTTAAAGTCCAACATGTTTGCAAGTAGTCTGATGGATTTGTTGTGAAGGAAAGTGACTGTTTTGCAAAGCCTTTACGCATCAGATGACACTGCATCACACACCTTTGAGCTTTAATTACTAGGTGAGGATTAATGATGCTTCACCCGCAGTGCTAATTACCATGGCTTCTTTATAACACCTCTCGCACGTTCATGCCTGTCCTCCCTCATCCTACTGTGTGACTCATGGTTGCACTTCCTTTTCCCCAGAAAAAGGCCCCCTTTAGTTAGCAGCAAATTCAGATAGAAGTAAACTCTAAATTAGCATGCCAAGCTGAACAATACAGCCCTTTTTTAAAGCTTTTTTTTCAGGGCTTATTATGTCATCCAGGAACAGCCTCTAGACTCTCAAGCAGTGATTTCTTGAGTGTTAAATCTCTCTTAGCCTCGAAACTACCCCTTCCTTCCAATTTTCTCGCTACTGATATCAGGTGAGTGTCCATTCACTTAGAGAGTACAGCAGGCTCGCCAAATCTTTTGATCCTTTTTCCTTCATCAGAAGTCTCTCAGCCCAATAAGGCAAACAGCTTTTCAAACAGAATATAAGGATCAGGTAAGTACAGATAATGCATTGAAAGAAAAAAAACAAGGAAAAAACGTGAGATTGTTGTGTAAGACCAATAGCTTAGATTTATGTAGAGTCACTTATATCTGAGACTTTATTTAGAATTTACCTATGTGTGAAATATTTTCATTAATGTAAGGATGAAAGTCATCTGTTTGAAGTCTGAGACCATTGATTTTAACTGGGAACAGTTGGAAAGGTCTGTCTCTTATTGGGGTCCATCTCTGTGTAATCAGAAAACTCAATGTATCTAGAGTAATATATAGGCACTTTTGCAGCCCTATACTTCGTTCTTATGTGACATAACATGAAGACACATTTCCACTACCCACCAGACTTGAGTGTAGTAATCGCTGTAGACATGGTTAAATAAGTTTGACTATCAAGCAAGGTTAAAATAGTTTGGGATTTTTTGTTCTTGCTTATTTCTATTTAGCCCTAACTTATTTTTTTCTCTAATTTATTTAGGATTTATGTTTTTGCAATGAGTTTCCCAGTATGTTTTAGTATTAGTTACTCTAATATATGTTTAATTTCAGTTTAGTTTTAAGTACTAGATTTTTAGTTGAAGGATTAGGAAAAAAAATAAGTGATGTATTTTAGAGATTGTACATAAGTTCTAAAAACTTTAACCAAAATAAGATTTTCTAGAAAATCCAACCCAATGTGAACCCAATCACTGGTATCTCTTACAGCCTGTAGAAGCCCCACCTGAGCCTATCTTCCTCTTTCCTTTCACACTGTACAGCATTGCAGCAAATACTAAGAACTGTCATAAGGAACTTTTGTGGGTTGAGAGTTGTGTGAAGTTTGTATCTTGGAAAAATTCCTCATAGCTGAAGCACATCAAAATGGATCAATACAACAATGCAATGTGATATTTAAAAACAAGCAGAGTATAGTAAGTTATTGCAGCAGGTAAAGCAACACACAACTGGGCAGGATTTTGGTTGCAATAGTGAAACTCTGTTTCCTTGGCTTACTGGCCGGGCTCAGGCTAAAGGACGTGTGTGTGTGTGTGTGGGTGTGGCCATGTCTTTAATACCTGGTGGGGACAATTTCCTAGGAATATGCTACATTTTGGGGACTCATAGTTACTTGTGGGGACCAACAACTGGTCCCCATAAGGAAAGTTTCTCTTCTTGGGGTGGGGGTTAGGTTTAGGACTAAGGTGTGAATTGAGTTTAGGTTAGGTTTAGGGATAGGTATATGTCGGTAATGGTTAGGGTTAGGGCAAGGGTCACGGTTAGGCCATATAAATTAGTGGGAAATGAATGGAAGTCAATGGAAGGTCCCCACAAGGATATTGTGACACAACATGTGTGTGTGTGTGTGTGTGTGTGTGTGTGTGTGTGTGTGTGTGTGCATGTATGTATGAATTAATCAACAGATTGATGGACTGATTAATTTCTTATCATTTTTTTTGTTTTTTTAATCCCAGTTGACTGAAGAGTAAATAATGATAATGAAGTATTGTTTCTTTTTTCAGAGGTATTTCTGAGTGGAACAAAGTACTTCTGTCCAACTTTAACCACCAAAGTAATGAAGTGTTACTCTCAGAAATCACTCAAACCAGAATCCTCATTACTGCATGTGGTATCAGTAACCAAACAGCAATCAATAAATTAATAGCATTAACCGTTTTATTTTCTATTAAAAAAAATTTCTCTTTGTAGGATGTTAGGACATACTATGACTTTACTCAAGTATTGTTCGCTCCCAAAATACTGAACACAATAGATACTACACACTTCTAATACAATAGTATACCATGTTGTACTATTCTCTAGGTGGTAATCTTACACTTTAGAATAATTGCACCGGTGGCACTGTGCAAGATAATTCCCCCAGGCTCTATGCCAACAAGGTCCATTTTTGTTTACACCCATCTGTCTAAAGCATTTCTCCCTTTGTTTGTGTTCTACACCTAATGTTTTGATATTGATCCATCTCCTTTGAGTGACTGAACAGGAGTCATTTCAACTCCAAAAAAATAAAAAAAAATAACGCTTCAACAGATGTTAATTTAATAATGTGTGGGCGAAAAAAAAAAGCCAAGAAACAAATGGAATGAGGGGCCGAAACAGCTCCCAGCTGGCAGCGGCTGAGCACTTAATGCTGACATTAAAGCGTTGTTTAAAAAAGTGCAAAGTGTCTCTCCACAAAGCAGACAGTCTTTTTTTGTGTTTTAGACAGTTTCTGCCTTTTAATTTTTCCATCACAGAGGGCGAAAGTGTTAAAATGATAGTGGGAGACTGGCTTTTAAAACTTACAGATTTTTGTCAGTAAACTGTAAATGTGGGCAGATGCTGCCCATCACTGTCAGCCGTGCTGTAAGCTTATGTGTTTGGTGATTCGCATTAAGTAACAGCATCATCGCTGAGGCTTCACCAACATCAACTGCCCTTTCCAGCAGGTTGTTGGTATTTGATTAATGATGACAAAGTAGAAAGACCTACACTTAGTCATTGGCTAGGAACTGTATTGAGCATTGCAATAGTGGTAGATCACATAACCAGAAACAGAAAAGCTCATATTCTTGCATACTCTAAAAGCAGCCTTGTTTTTCCCCTGTAAATGGGGATGGCGTGTATACACTATGGCGTTCCACCTTACCGTCTGCTACCTCCAGCTGAGCCTTGGCCATGATGCTGCCTGCCACAGTAAGGGCTTGGCAGATGTAGTAGCCTGCATCTGAGCGCTGTACAGATGATAGCGTCAGCTCTCCATTCACAGACACAGACACTCGGTCATCCCCCTGTGCTGGCTGATTGGGAAATAGAAGATCCTAGAGAGACAAATAAGAATAAATAAATAAAACTTAATTAATACTTGATGCTGTCTTTCTCACTGTAACCTTTTTTTACTTCAAATAACATACATTAAATGGTACATGAGGATATACTGTCGTTTATGACAGAATTTGAATGAACCTACAACCACTACTAGAATACAAGTAAGTCTCAAAATAAATACAAGTATATACAGCATCTCAGAGGTGTAACAGATATTAAATGCCATTATTCCTTTTTAAAGTCAGAGTTGTCTCACAGAGAGCCATCAAACTCTTGCAAGCAAGTTTCCTTGTCTGGTGAGATGTATTTAAGTTATCAACCTGAGACACGGGTGCTTGAAGCTTTGTGATCCTGTTGCAAGTCCTGATTTAGTCACTTATTTTGAAGTAAAGGGGTGAAGAGTTTCCCAGTTGCCCTGTTGTGGTTAAAGAGCCGACTAATAAAGATTTCTTGTCAAGCAATCCAACACTTTGCCACAAAAGCAATGAAGAAGCCTGGGGCACCACTTCGAAATTATTTGGCTCGAGGATAAGAGATAAACAATCTGCAGGCACTGTGAGAATAAGAAATGTAGCATCTGTCTAAGAGATTCCTTTCAGCACAAACCAAAACAGCTAATTATAAGACTGGACATTTTATCATTTTAGGCGTTAAGGAGTTTAAGTTAATTGTCAAGGCCAAATATTAAATTGGTCCAAGGGACGAATCAGTAACAGTAGCTTCTGCCATCATATGCCATCATAAGAAATTGATTTACAGCAAAACTCGGTCGACAAAAATAAAATGTTCCTAAACTCAGTGTATTTACCCGAATTAGCGCAAGTTAAAAGTACAATGATGGCGATTATTTTCTTATTTAAACATACTGTAAATGGCTTATAGGTACTTGTGGAGACTAATGACGGGTACTCATGAGGATTTTCTCCCTTCCTGTCTTGGGGTGGGGGGTACGATTTAGAACTAAGCTGTGAACTGAGTTTAGGTTAGGTTTAGGGTTAGGTATGTGTTGGTAATGGTTAGGGTTAGGGCAAGGGTCACAGTTAGGCCATAGAAATTAGTGGGAAATGAATGGGAGTCAATGGAAGGTCACCGCAAGGATTGTGTGACACAACATGTGTGTGTTTTTTTCAGTATAGGGGCCATAACAGGGGTTAGGGATATTTCTATAGGGGCATTGGCCCTTGTTGGCCCCTGTTTACAACCACCCATGATGGGTGTGAATATTGCACACCCATATTGCACATTTGAAGTGTTGCTTTTGAGGAAAGAAATACAAAACTGTTCATTTTGCAGCCAACTAAAACCAAGAGATAGGTGCTACCATTAAAAAAGTAAAAGCTTCTTCAGTTCACTTAAAAAAGGTCAATATTTTATCTGCCTGGTAAGAACAGCAGTTTCCAACCAGAGTACTAATCCTGCTGTGATAACCTGCACTTATGACTTTGAAATAGAGGAATCTGCACTGTGTGTTTCTACACCCCAGGCAAACCAGCTGATGGACAGGAAAGGACATTAACCTGCTTTCATTATGTCTAATGACTCTAATGCAGCACATGACATTGTCTCTCACAAAGTGAATTGGCTCGTCAGACGGCCATGGATTGAAAATAAATGACCACTTCATTATATAAATGTGGAACAGAATCACATTCTGTTCTGACCTGGGTTGATCCTTTTAGTGAAGGCCTTTTCCTTTTTTCTGCAAACATTTTAGCTTGAGCTTTAGCTTTTTATAGCTACAAATTGTATAGCAATGGCTGAGGGTAATCACATATCATCTATTTACATATTCTCAGAGTTGCTCTTAAACATTTGAAACCACTATTTAAGGTAAATAAAAACATATATATATTTTTTCAAGTTTAGGCAAAGTCTCCAGTCTTGGAAATAAGTCCAACTTAAATATAAAATATCTCATTGGATGCATGTCATTTAGTGTGGCTATAAAACTCCACTTCTCTAAATTAGGAAACTAAACCATACACCGTTTTATCTGTATGGCTGATTTAAATTCTCTTTTTTTTATAACTATAACTTAACCTGAAAAAGTTATGAACTGCTTTAAATTATTTTTTGAAATTTCAGAAGAGTTAATATCGTTTAATAGCCGTCTTCATCTATATCTTTATACTGTCCCGCCCTTTGCTTTATAGTCTATTATTCTGGGTTTGAAGGCTCACTGGTGCAGAAAGACAGGTTGCCATGGAAAGTAATGCAGTCATTTTACTTCACATTTATCACTGTAGTATACACAATTTGATCAACGGATAAGTTTGGCTGGCAAAGATTGCTCCGCCGTATGAAATCTGCAGCTCTCATACACTATATTGCCAAAAGTATTTGCTCACCTGCCTTGACTCACATATGAGCTTAAGTGACATCCCGTTCCTAATCCATAGGGTTCAATATGACGTCGGTCCACCCTTTGCAGCTAGAACAGCTTCAACTCTTCTGGGAAGGCTGTCCACAAGGTTTAGGAGTGTGTTTATGGGAATTTTTGACCATTCTTCCAGAAGCGCATTTGTGAGGTCGCACACTGATGTTGGACGAGAAGGCCTGGCTCTCAGTCTCCGCTCTAATTCATCCCAAAGGTGTTCTATCGGGTTGAGGTCAGGACTCTGTGCAGGCCAGTCAAGTTCATCCACACCAGACTCTGTCATCCATGTCTTTATGGACCTTGCTTTGTGCACTGGTGCACAGTCATGTTGGAAGAGGAAGGGGCCAGCTCCAAACTGTTCCCACAAAGTTGGGAGCATGGAATTGTCCAAAATGTCTTGGTATGCTGAAGCATTCAGAGTTCCTTTCACTGGAACTAAGGGGCCAAGCCCAGCTCCTGAAAAACAACCTCACACCATAATCCCCCCTCCACCAAACTTTACACTTGGCACAATGCAGTCAGACAAGTACCGTTCTCCTGGCAACCGCCAAACCCAGACCCGTCCATCAGATTGCCAGATGGAGAAGCGCGATTCGTCACTCCAGAGAACGCGTCTCCACTGCTCTAGAGTCCAGTGGCGGCGTGCTTTACACCACCGCATCCGACGCTTTGCATTGCACTTGGTGATGTATGGCTTGGATGCAGCTGCTCGACCATGGAAACCCATTCCATGAAGCTCTCTGCGCACTGTTCTTGAGCTAATCTGAAGGCCACATGAAGTTTGGAGGTCTGCAGTGATTGACTCTGCAGAAAGTTGGCGACCTCTTCGCACTATGCGCGTCAGCATCCGCTGACCCCGCTCCGTCAGTTTACGTGGCCTACCTCTTCGTGGCTGAGTTGCTGTCGTTCCCAAACACTTCCATTTTCTTATAATACAGCTGACAGTTGACTGTGGAATATTTAGGAGCGAGGAAATTTCACGACTGGATTTGTTGCACAGGTGGCATCCTATCACAGTTCCACGCTGGAATTCACTGAGCTCCTGAGAGCGACCCATTCTTTCACAAATGTTTGTAAAAACAGTCTGCATGCCTAGGTGCTTGAATTTATACACCTGTGGCCATGGAAGTGATTGGAACACCTGATTCCAATAATTTGGATGGGTGAGCAAATACTTTTGGCAATATAGTGTATCTAATTTAGATCTCACACAAAGACTAGATGAATCAGCTCAACCATTACTCAAATATTGAAGGACTGAATAAAAAATAACGCCACTTAAACTCACACTAAAGAAAGAAAACTTATAGCTGAGAGAAGCTTGCAATTAAAAATCAAACTTACATCTCACTATTTTATTTAAAGCTACAGTGTGTAACTTTTAGCGACATCTAGCGGTCAGACTGCAGACTGCAGCAACATGAACATCTCCCCCCCACCGCTTCTCCCCCCCAACAGTACGGCGAGCGTTACGGGACAAAATGTCTTCCACGACGTCCGCATCACCTACCTTCTCAAGTGATGAGGTTTGTTTACATAGATAATTTTACAGATAGTATTTCATTAGTCTGTGTAGGGTATAGATTTCATGTAGACTTAAGATAATAGATATACCCGTTATTTTTTCTACATCGTTGTGACGTTTTGGCGATCTCGCAATCGCTAGTTTGTTGGCTCTGCGCTGCCGTAGCGCAAAGATGTCTGCCTCCATGGCTGCGAGACCCGCTCCTATGTAATTATAAATAACGAATTCTAAGGCAACGCAAATATTAAGGTTAAGAGGCTGAGCTCGTAGATGATGATAAATAACATAGTTATGTATAATATATTACATTTCTGACTGTATATCCCTGTAATTATTACACACTGTAGCTTTAAAGTATGCAATTCAGTTAATAAATTCCTGACCATTTGGGGGCACTCAGTATATTAAAAATGTCCCTGCTAAATGGAGTGATGATCTTTACATATGAAAAAAACAACAACAAAAAACAAAGATGGTGACATCACACCAAAATCATGAATTTCATTCTTATGCGATAAGATGAATTTTGGTTAAGGATATTCCATACTTTTGATGCAGATACACACTACACAAAATGAAGTAATGTCCGAAGTGATACATATTCTTCCAAGACATGACCGGACCGAATTTTTCACAAAACCCCAGACATTCATGGCGCTGTCACACCTTGACTATTTAGCCAGCATATGCCGACAAAAATTTGGCAAAAACGCTGGCATATGTTGGATAAGATATGGGTACGTTTTGTGTAAGTTATGAGCAGGCTGAAGCACGCTGGCACATGTTGACATAGGGCAAGTACATTAAGAAATTTTGAAACTAATGCCAGCGTATACTCATACGTGGGCTATAAGTTACAGGTAAGTTATGTGATTGTTGACAAATGTTAATTTTAAGTTACTCATAAGTCGTGGTGAGTAGCTTATCCGAAATGTATGAGTAACTTGTTCATAACTTCTGCCTAACTTATCAACATATATCCAAAGCCTATCAACATATGCAGGTATATTTGAGATATTCCAGATGACCACTAAACGTCTTTCTAAATGACAGCGACTGATGGCGTATTGTCAGGGTTTTGGTACAAAAGGGGGTTCACAGGAGAAAACCGTCAGTATTCCTCCAGACTTCAGACGTTACACAAGAGGTGGAGGATCTGGCAAGGCTGAGATGAGAATACATTCTAGCTGCCCTCCAACATCAGCATGCTCTCATCAATTTGACTCTTTTCCAGTTGTAGGGTGAACGTGAAGGTGAGTGTGATGGATCCTTCCTGCTTTCACGTCCACGGCCACGACCAACATGTTCCTAGCAGACATGACGCTGAATCTGCTGCGACAGCAAACCTTCTTTCTTTTCTTTTCTTTTCTCTTTCTTTCTTTCTTTCTTTCTTTCTTTCTTTCTTTCTTTCTTTCTTTCTTTCTTTCTTTCTTTCTTTCTTTCTTTCTTTCTTTCTTTCTTTCTTTCTTTCTTTCTTTCTTTCTTTCTTTCTTTCTTTCTTTCTTTCTTTCACAAAGCATACATTTTAAACCCATTTTAAGTGTTTGCTATTACAACTTAACAGTGACTTGGATCACAGACTTTTCAGTTTGCTCACCTTGCTGCCCTCTCTTTGCCAGAAGACTGTTGGCTGAGGTTTGCCTTTTGTCACACAGGGAAAGGTAGCTGTCCGTCCTTGCGCCACAATCTGGTCCCTTGGTCTGACAACAAACTGTGGTGCCTCTGAGTTTGAAAATTAAAGACAAAGCAAAACAATCTTGTGGACATCTCACTACTGTTAGACTGTCATAAGCATATTTACTGTATTAAATTTAAAGCTCAAAGCTAAAGAAGTTCATGCACTGGGTGTTTTCTTCTAGTTCTTATTTATGTTAGTCAAATAAGCCAATTGTTGAAATACTGTTAATTTGGAAATAAAGTTCACCATTTGAACTAAATCACATCAACCACAGCTGAACCCCCATTTTGGAAGAATTCAGAACAAATATTTCAGTATTTTACTTGAAGTCAGAGGCTGATAAGCAGCAGATATGCAGGTCTAAAGATTCTTTAATGATTTAGCGTGTGGAATGTGACAAAAGCTCATGCATACTGACCATGTCTGTGATTGGAAAACAAAAAAGGAAAAAAAATAAGCATATGCACAATGGGATCACCTCTTACTTACCAACGGGGCGAGCTGGTGACACAACAATGGTGTGGGTGACATTGACAACAGAGGGACAGGAAAAGAAAGAAATGAAAATCAGAAATGAATGGAAATGGAGCTGGGTTTCCATCCATGAAGCTCAGGGACAAGAGGGGTAACTCTTAGTCACCAAAGCAGGGAGTGCATGGACCCTACCCTCAAAACAATACAGAAAATACTGGGAAAAAACAAATCTTTAATCAAAATATAGCCTAGAATAAATACATCTGTTTCTGTACATTTACAGCACTTAAACTGGAAGAGGTTTTAAAAGCCAATACATAAACTGAAACTAAACAAAATGAACAAAAATTATCAATTATTAGTTAGGATGAGCTCATGCTGTCAGAGATAATAATCAGTTTCCCTATATAACTTACACCTTTACACCAATAAAACCTTGTGTGCTATGAAAAAAAAGTAAGTTACAGTTATGTTGATATACACTGCAACAATTTTGCGCATAATAAAAACTCAGCTTGCGAAAAGCATTGAACAGGCCTTATTGAAACGAGGTGTAGGTAGCATAACCACAAACAGCGCAACATTTAAAACTAATGTTAGCTGGAGCAAAATGGAACTTTATTTAAGGATGTAGCTGCATATATAGACTCAGAAAAAGTTATGATTATATAAGAACAAAGACATATAGGCCTTATACTAATAAAATCTAGGTTTTTATTTTACTACACTCTTAATGAATAGAATCTTTGTCACATATTGAATAAAGATTTTCATAAATTTGGAAAAATAGCGATTTATGACTCTACATCACCTTATTTCTCCTTTAAAACAACTCAGATATGTGTCTGGGAAAATAAATTCATGACACATTTGTTAATGAAATGTTCATGAAATAAAATATGTATTATGCACCATGTATGAAGATGTGCCACAGCCGCCCATGGATATGAACTGGAATTAAAAAACAATTTAGAATACTAAAGGTTGGCTCTGTTTCTTGGCATAATCTTTAAATTGAATAAAACATATGCACATACATTTAAGTCTATCAATGGTGTTCCTTCCTTACTTGCATATAGCTGATTCCTTCTGCAGGGGTATACCATACAAAAATAGTGAGTCCACAAGCCTACTGTAGGCACACATCTCAGACTGTGAGCATATAAATTAAACTGGAATTGATGACACTCCATCTTAATATTGCTTGAGAATTTAGAAATGTCCCATATATTCCTCCTCCAACCCCAAACAACCCCAGCTCCTAATTATTTGTGTGTTGGACTAGAAATAATGTGTTTTTTGTTACTAAAACTAGAAAAGGAGATGCTAGATTTAAGTTTGTTTTATTTTCTGAAACCAATATTTTTAGTTTAAAGGCACTCGTCAATTGGTGCGTAATTATGAAGTTATTACTCAAAAAAGAGATTGAAAACGTAAAATGTAATTGGATTTAATATCTGGGGCTTCACACATGTTTAGATTAATCAGCAACATTAAATTGTAATATAAAAGTAAACCTGAGCTCAGGCCCAGTAGTTCAACATGATGGCAATAAAATCTACAGCTAGCAATAAAGAGATGTTGTTGGGGCTTGCTGTGGGAGAGATAAAAAATATCAGGAAATGGTTATATGCTTTGACACACATGAGACCAGTAACTGTTACCCACCTCTGATGGTCAGGTAGGCAGAGGCCTCTGCTTTACCCACACGATTCTCTGCTATGCAGGTAAATGTCCCTTGATCACTGACAGATGCCTTTTTAATCCTCAACAGGAAGTCCTCTCTTTCATATCTGATGTCATACCTGGAGAAATGGAGTTAGAAAAATTACAGGTGTAATACTACTAAAAGATAAAAGCATATACAGAATATGCTAATAAATTAACTCATTGCAGTAAAGTAAATAAGCAAAACAAACACTACAGCTAAGTGATTGGTGTGTAAACTTGTGTGTCTGATGTTTTGCTTGGAAGCTTTAAAAAGGAAGTGTCAGTTTTGATAGAATAACAAGAGAGTTTCTCAGGGAAATGCTATGGGGGGGATGAAAAGACAAGCAATTAAACTCAAAGATGAAGGCAGGCAAAAATGAAAGGAGCTTTCAGCTAGAACCCTGATTGTTCCACTATTTCAATATTCATAAAAAAGGCACAGCCCACACTGTAGTGTGGGATGTTGTGTAGTGTGAGAGAGTGTGTGTGTGTGACAGCCAAAGAGAGAGAGAGAGAGAGGGAGAGGGAGAGGGGGCAAAAAGACAAGAGAGCAAGACGTACACTCAGAGTAAGGAAGAGGCACTGTCTGACATATTGAATTTGATGATTGCACCAAGCATTAAAACATGACTAATTCATAGAGTTGTTCCTTGCATCCGAGTGTATCTATCGCTGAAGTAAACGTGAGGCAGTAGCAGGGCACTGAGAGTTAGAGAACAATTTCAGCCAGCTGAGTTTAGATAAGCGCCTTGGAGGGCCAAGAGACGAAACAAGTAGAGGAGCAAGTAGTTAGGTCTCCCTCTCTTGGGTCCGTTTTGGCATGAAAGACCTTGTGAAATTGTCTAGCCAGCCATACTGATTTAAAGATGGAAGATAAGTCAGGCAGAGAAATAGCACGAAGGGGGTGGGGGACGCGTGAAAAAGTCACATCCAAAGATGGTGTTCAAAGGGTGTGGGCAGAGTATCAGTGGTGGGGGCTCTGTTGAGGAGGTCTTTCCAGAGTCTGGAGCGGACTTCATTCCCAGAGCATCTCTGACCCAGATATGTGTTTCCCAGGAGGCTGGTAGTTTTTGGAAAAGAATAAAAGAAGTGAAAGGAAGGAAAGTAAAACAAAGTATTTAGAAAAAGTAGGACATATTTTACTGTCAGAGGGTACTGAGGAAGAGGGCACAATCAAGGTAGGAAGACAGGTTACCAGACAGTAACCAGACAGAGAAGTAATTGTAAAAATAAGCCAAAACATTAGATTTATATAACTCATTGTAAAATAACAGTCGGTCAAATTACAATGGCACCCAGCAGATGGTGGGAGCATGTGACCAGTCTGTTTTAAAAGGCAATGTCAGGAAATTAGGAACAATCTGGTGTGTCTTTTGAAAACATAATTAAACTGTCCAATAGGGGTGTTGAATTCTCCAAACTGGCAAGAAGATAAAAAACTAAACAAAAAAAACAACATGGTAACCAGAATCTTGCTGTGTGAAAATTAACAATGATTGGTGATTGTGCATAAAAAAACTTAAGGTCTTACAGAACACAGGAAATAGTTTTGTATGAAGAAAGAGGATAATAATGTACTGTTAAAGAAGATACTGTTTTACTTATCACTGGTGTTTGTAAATACAATTACAAAAGATGTTAATGGTTTATAAGCCCTTCACAAAATTTGAGTTAAATTAAAAAGATACATATCCAGAAATATTACTTTAAAGTGTAAGTAACCCCTAAAAAAAAGATGACCCTGCCCCCAGAAAAACGTTTGAAAAAGGCCATCAAAGTAGTTGGTACCAAGACACCCTGAGGGGGAGGCTGAGAATGGAGATGAGCGGCGGTGGACTGTAGGGGGTGTCATGATCTTTGCACTGATGACTGGTTTAATGGTGCATGCCATTCAACTGCCTAGCTCCGCCCAGTTTTTCATTACTGTTCATCTTATCCAACTGCTCTGCTTCTATGTAGGTTGCTCGCTCCCAGTCATCAGTGCCAGATTATTCGAGCATTCGGTGAGAGTTCTCTAGCGTACCTGTTGTTGTTCTGATTGCCTGATCCTGACCAGTTCTGCCCTCGGACCTGGTCTGTTCCTGTTTTGGATTTGTTTCCCTGACCTGTCTTCAGACTCCTGCTGGTTTCTGTTTGTGGATTGAACCTGGATCTGCCTTCTCACTCTGACTCGGATTTCCCCTTGTTACCTCTTCAGATCTCTGATCTTCTGGTATGGACTCCTGTTAACCTCTTCAACAGCGGCTTGGGTTTCATCTTCTGGAACCTCCTGCCTTCGTTCGTCTGTTTGGGTCTGCTCGTCAGCCAGTTCTTCAGGCTCAGGCTCCTGAAACTCTCTTGCTGGATTCCACTCCTTTTTCTGGGCGCAGACTTGAACTCTAAAACCAGGTTAATAACTCACACGCTAGTAATGGCCCTCTGCCAAATTTACATGGTCACTAAACTGAGTTTTCCCTCTACCTAGTTTCCGGCCTTTGACTCCTTTGTTGCTGAGTTTCAGATCCGATGTCAATAAGTATTTTTGTAAATCACAGTGATCTGTCTCCTTCGAAATCTGGGTCCTCAGTTCTGAGCCCTGACAGGGGGTGTGGTCAGGATGACAGAAAGTGGCAGCTATTTTAATGCAGGACAGCTTAGTTTAGCTTTATTGAAGCATAAAGATTAGGCAAAGGAATGCTGGTAATATCTCCATTAATAGTTCTTTTAAGGTAGAGGAATTATTTTTCAACCTTTTTTACCACCCTTGACCCTACTTAATGCATAAAAGTCACATTTTGTGATTTATATACTTATTTACTGAAGCCAGAAAGAAATTAGAACAATCAGGAATCAAGTTTCCAAATAAAAAAATAAATAAAAATTCAGTAAGGACTTGAAATTAGTAATATCCAATCCATCTTCAAGGGTTGTTAAATGAGCTCCATGATAATGAGCTCTGATGTGAGCTGTTTGTGTTCTTACACTGAAGTGCATCATGCCATTCCACAGAGGCCTGCCTCCACACCTACTACTGTATATATTTCAATACATTTAAAATCAGTCCTTACCTGCCACGAGGAACATCCACATCCTCCTTTTTCCAGCGCAGGGCAGGTGGTGGGTCACCATAGACCTGACATCTGAACTCTACACTCTCATCAACTAGAACCACCTGGTTAACAGGACGTTGCATAAAAGCTGGTCTTTCTAAATAAGGATCACACACAAGACAAGCATTATTTATGCAAAAGGGTTAAATATGCTTTTTGAATTCAAGTTAGTGAATATTCTTGCAGTTTACTTGTTTGTAAAATATGCACTGAGTATGGGACAGATTTCCTACCAAATACTGAGAGTTGTGCTTTTTCACTCTCCCGCACTCCAACCATGTTTGAGGCCACACACACATAAATCCCTGAATCGCTCTTCTTAGTATTTGAAATTGTCAGCTTTCCTCCTCGAACCTAAAGCGGATAAGAGAATGGCTTGCTTGAAAATAAAATATTTTGAACTTTTACTTACTGTATTTGTTTGGGTCCTTTCCTGAAAACAAACTCACTGTGATCCTGTCATCCTTGAGATCCAGTTCAGTTTTGTCCTTTCTCCAGAATATGGTTGGTTCAGGATGCCCACGTGGAGACTGACAATCAAAACTTGCCGTTTCCCCAACTGCCACCACCATATCCTGTGGGTTCTGTCGGAAGTCATCGCGTAGCACTAGAGCAAACACAAGAAGTAACACAGAATTATAACTGTAATAATATGTCATTTATCTAAATAGCTGAATTTATATAGCCACTTAGGAAATCCTAAACCCACTCTTGCATTAACATGTCTTTTCTTTAGTAATTATTTCACAATTTTACGATTCATTGTTAGACAATACACTACTACTTCTTTTCTCTTATTAGTCTGAGTGTATGAGAGCTCTAAGCAGATAAGTGCAACCAAACATAAATCCAAGAAAATCTGCTATAGACTGTAGTGCAAAACATGCTTTATATACAGTATAGGAACATTCTTTTTCATAAAAAAAAAAAAAAATGAAAAGGACAGATATACTTTACAGAAAGAGAATGGTCATCGATAAAACCTCTAAATCCACTTAGAGGTTTAGTAGCAAATGTATTTAGTTTACATTTCACAGTGTAAAATGAAAAAAACAAAACAACAAACAAATAAGATTTTTATATTTTTTATCATGAACAAAACCTGCACCATTTCACCTGCCTAAACCTAAACAAAGTTCAGTTAATGACGAATTTCATTAAAATTATGCCTTTAAACTGGAAATGATCACCTCAGAAGACTGATTTAGCTTTACTTATCAGAGATTATCAGAGATTATCAGAGATTAGAGAATCTCTTAAGGTTTTCCTAAAGTAGTCTATGTCCTGAAGGAACCACTGATAGGAAGGATTTTGGAGGATTTTGTCTCTAAAACCACCTGGTATTTAAAAGAGATTATAACTCCAGCCACCCATGTAAGGTTTCGACAGCCTTTGAATGAGAAAAAGTCCCACAGTCTCATAGACCCTCTACTGTACTTACAGGAGGGCAACAAGTCCATCACACATTTTTTATGTAGTGTCACAAATGTGCTGTTTTCAAAAAAATAACTTGCTAATTAACCCTTTCTTCCAATATTGCATACCATCCTTTCATTTATATGGTCTACAAAGGCATGCCCCAGCTTCTGGTATTTTATCAGACATGCTGAAAAATTCTCTAGCATGAGCAATGCAGCTCATACACAAAACTTATGATGCACATGTGCACCCATACCAAAGAATATTACATAATAACCAAAAAGTAACCTTACTTAATCTCACACTTTTCTGTGCCGATAGATACCTTACCCCCGGCATGTTGGATGCTTGAATTTGAAAATGATACCATAACTTACTGTATTTAATCTGACTAATAATCACAGTAGTAATTTTACTTCCAGATGTTTAGATGCCCCTTTGTTTACTAACTTAATGAGGAGGATAAGCAGAGCTGTCAACACCACAAAAATAACATAATCAGCTCAAACACAGGAGGACACCTTTATTTTCAATACACAGTTACTACTATTTAATATGTGAATAAATGGCAAAACACATAATACAGAAGCAATAAGGCTCGGGCTAAAGAGCTATAAAGAATCCCACAGATAAGGACAGATCACTGAAACAGAAATAAAGAAAACTACATTATTGCTTCATGTGTACTGTGTGTGTCACATCAAAATGTACGCACTTTCATATGTTCTGTTTGTGTAAGGGAAAGCTTCAATCATTTGGTGTTTGTGTAACTTCTGTGTGTTTGTTGTTGTTGTTGTTCTTTTACAGCAGATTGTATTCCTGAAATTCGACTTGCATTATCCATGAGTGTTTCATTTGTGCATCAATATCTGGAACTGGCACAGCATCCAACAATAAAGTTCTCACTGCTGACGCCTTGAATGGTAAAGGGGGTGCAATTTGGTGAATTTGGATACAGCCAAGTTCTCTGGAGTCCACTATTGACTTGACTCTTGATTGTTTGACTAAGCTGTATTGAGGTAACCTGACTCCGCCAGATGGATTTGCTCCGCATATCCATCTGGAAACCTTCCATAGAAGTAATTTTGGGAAGGGGCAAAAATACTGGTTAGCTGATTGGCCTATGTTGGTGAAAGACGGGCCAAATAAACCAATCAGATCAACGAAGCATACAACGTAACAGAGCGACAACAAAGAGGAGCCAATTGATAGATCAAACTCTTGCCGAAACCAGTCGGGAGAAGAGCAAAAACATCTTTTCCTCTGAGAAAAGCCTCCAGAGCAGTGTTTTGCTCTTCTTTCAGTGAAGAAATACAGTGTAATTCCGATAAAACTTGCTCGATAGCTAGTTTCATCGGCTTTGGTGAACGGCTCAAATTTTCTTCAACGGAGAGTCTCCAGACTGATTAGCCAGTGAAATCTTGAAAGCTCGCGAGAACAGGATGGTCTCACGAGGCTAGTATTGAGGCAGACGCATCTGAAAAATGCAAGACAATGGACTCTAAGGAGTTGAATTGAGAACCCTTTCCTGTTTCATTTCAGTGGCCACCTCAGAAATCTGGTTAAGAAAAACATTGTATGGTTTTATAAGGAATATAATTAAAAAGCCGTGCATGTGTTTTTCGATTTTGTAGATATAAGCACCTTGTGGTCAGTGAAAACATTTATGAGTTGAACCACAACTATAAAGTAGGCTTACTGGGGGTGGCAAACTGAAGGTTGTCAAGAGTAATAAATATGCTACAAAATTCTGATGAGATTAAAAGACCAGTTCAATATTAAATTGTTAGTTTAGTGGACTCTGATTTTTTTCTGCTAAAACCTTTGAAAAAGAATGCAGTTAGAAAATGAGTCTCTTATTTTGCAGCAGACCCAGCATTAAACCTTGGACTCCTGAAAAGACAATTGCTACTGTGTGCACAACTTTAAAAAGGGAGTACAAATGAGTAGGAATATCAGCTGGATCAAGCAGAAAAAATAATTGCAAAATAGCAAAGGAACAGGTGCAAGGCCTTATTTAGGTGCAAGGATGCACACATATCAAAGATTCTCACGGATAGCAAGTTCCACGGATATTCAGGTTCAGTTCCTGTTTTAGAAAATGCACTGAAACTCCTGCATTACTCTCTACAATGGAATAAACTGGAAGGAGGCCAAAGACTGCATTATATGAAAAAGAGATCTCAAGCAAGCCGGTGCTGGGTGAAATATGACACTTTTCCATTTTTAACTCACATCTATATACTTTTTTAGCTCATTAAAATTCCATTTTCCTGAGTTTTATCATCCTCATGTCAACATTTTCATTTATCTAATAATATCTACATCTTATTTTCTGTATTCAAAAAAATCAACTATTGTCAAACAATTACCACAAAAGCTAGGAAAATGCATTCAGACCAGATGTATGAGGTAGTTTATGTGAAGTTAAGAGGAAAAAGCTTCAAAGCTTTCTGACGCTGTCAGAACTGTTCAGGAAATATCGGTTTTCAAAGCTGCCGCTGCTTAAAGTAGGTACAGGATAGACTGCACTGTACGGCATCTTTGGGATTAGGTTTAAAAATAGAGATTGTAATCTGGACCCAGCAATGAGTTGTACCCTCTTTGCATTAATAGCATATGACATGTTGTTTTTGTGAAAAGCCTTGCTGTAGGCCTGTTTTAAATAATAAAGCGCTGTGTATGACAGCAATCAGAGCCAAAAAAAATAAAATATCAATGCTCTTTACCTTTTCTTGTCAAAGAGCTGTGCATAAAACTCAGCTACAAACTGTCATTGCTACTTTAGTGTCTGAGGAATTAATGAAAATGGGAGAAATTAATTTTATCTCAGTGTAATAGCTGATAAAACTCAGAGCTGCATAAACTTGCATGATGCTCAGTTTGCTTTTTATCCTCATTACTGCCGAAAGCTGTTCTGCTGATATACTGTAGCATATATTCAAAGTCCCAGAGGACACCTTCATTGAAAAGGAAATCAGGAGGCAGTCAGTGGCCCTTTGGCCCAGCTGTCAATCACAGCCTGCAGTAAATGAGTCTCAGTTGCTATTCTGCTTTAGCAAAGACATATGTCTGGTTGGTTGTCATGTTGTACTATACGCTTAGTGACCCATTCCATGCAGGCTACACTACACTCATACAGGCACACACCAGCATTCCCTGTCCCACTTGACAATGTTTCTTTAAATCCTGTCCCAGGAGGGTTTAAAACTCAAGCATAAACAGGGGAAATTTGAAAAGACACTACATAATTGGGTACATGAATTATAAAGTCAATGACAGAGAAATTCATTAAAACTAAAACAAACTCTGTTGAGCACAACACCCTTGGAGCTTTGCACATGTTTTGCCTGATTTCTACGACAATTATAAGGTATCCCATTGAGATCCTTTGTGATAATATAGTGTATCGTGGTAAAGGTAGAATAAAATAGAATTATATAGCATAAAAGAAAATCAATCTTTATTGTACCACAGTAGGAGAAATTCAGCTGTATCAAGAGCAAGCATAGAACTTTTTTTTTTTTTTACAAAATAAGAGCTCTGTGCAGTTATCAAACATGTCATTATCAGTGACGATGAGTAGGCCGATTTGGAAGTGCACAAAAGGACATATGCAATAATTGTGCATGAAGTTCTGTGTGTCATTTGTTTATTCATTTATCAAATTGAAACCAACAATGAAAAATCTTTGAAACAACTGGGGTTATTTCATCAAAGTTTCAAAATACTTTAGAATAGTAGAGATGGGTTCCTTTTCATTACTATTTCCCTTCAATACTAAATAGTGAGATAATGGCAAATGTGAGCTTGTATGTTTCCTGGTTTTGTGCTCTTAGGTGACCAGGTTGTACTGTAGTTTTATGTGGCAAAAACAGCAAGAAAATAGATGACACAGGAGTATCACAGCAAGTTCTTCAGTGAGAATATCCATTGGCAGATAAGAAAGTTTGCAGATAGAAAACAAAGACTGAGATATCAGGTGTACTGGTCAAATTGGGTTGTCAAATTGTTCAGAAATGTCAGTGAAAGGGTTCTGTAAGGTTTTTAAGAGGCACCAATTGTAAAGCATCTCACAGACACTTATCTCGAAAATGTAGTCACATCATCATAGAACAGGCATTGGGTGAGTTTCTTTGTTATGCAACATTTTGCTGCATATCTTCCATAAGTGATATCCTCTTAAAG